CAACCAATCAACAAGCATTTGTATTATGTGCCAAGAACTGTGTCGGAAAGGGTCCCTGCCTAGGGTGACCTTATATTCCAGGAGAGAAAACATGTACATGAGTACATGTTCATTTATATAAACAAAAAATATATACAAAGTAAAACCAAGGCAATTAATTACATTAGCAGCTGGGTGGGGATTAGAAAATGCCTTGTGTAGGAGGCAGCATCGGAGTTGAGCTTTGAAGGAAGCTATTGATCCATTTGGTACAGTTGGGACCCGATTAGTGTGGATAATGATTCCTCAGAAGTGGCCTCACGTATTCAAATTCAAAGTATTCAAAGTTATAATTATGGTTAAGATGATTAGCATAGCAGTCAACCCTTAGATTAATTTAGATAGTATGGCCAGGTCACAAACATTGACTTCCTCCAATTATTTAGGTCGACCTTTATTTCAGTGAATATTGTTTATAGTTAGGTTTACAGAAGTCTTAAATCCTGTGTCTTGGCAGGCATGATTTTCTAATCACCCCAGTCCTTAGTGACCCTTCACATTTAAATTTAAACATTGTACGCTTATTAAAGGTAGGAATTGTCTTTTGCCTCTTTTTGTATCCCCAGCACTTAGCACTACGCCCAAAACACAGTAGGCAATTAATAAATGGATTGATTGATGGTGTAAGTATAGTTACCTGGGTACCTACTTAACTACACTTTGGGCTGCTAGATTATGAACTTTATAAACATCAAGGCTTGTAGTTTCAGTTCAACTCTTTGTCACCCCATTTTGTTTTGTTTTGTTTTTTGCAAAGTGATTTTTTGTTGTTGTGATTTGCCATTTCCTTCTCTAGCTCATTTTGAAAGAAACTGAGGCAAACAGGGTGAAGTGACTTGCCCAGAGTCACACAGCTAGTCTGAGGCTGGATTTGAATTCAAGAAGGAGTCTTCCTGACTCCAAGCCGGGCATTCTATCCACTGTACCACCTTAAACTTAGATATTACATTTTATTTATTATCTATTATATACTTTATAATACTATGTCCTTTCTCCCTTCTGCTTAGTAGGCACTTAATAAACATTTAGAACAGTAACATAAGATGATTGAGTCCAACTCCTTCATTTTACAGATGAGGCAACTGAGGCATAAAGAAATTAACTGAGTCACCCAAGATCAAACATGCATTGTGTTCAAATCCAGGTTCTCTGACTGCAAATCCAGTGTTTCTCCCTGCTATCACTTGACTCCCTAGGTCTGTATACCTCTCCTCCTTCTCCACTGGAAGCCCTGTCAAGTTAAAAGACAGAGGACCTTGGTTCAGATTCTGTCTCTGACCCTTACGTACCTTTGGGTGAGTCATTTGTAAAAGGACTAGAAGTCCCTCTGAGATGTAAACCTATGGTTCTAAGTATTTTTTTCTTTTCATGTTCTTATTTATTTATAGCATTAAAATTTTTTTGAGTTCTAAATTCTCTCCATCCCCCACTCCTCGAGAAGGTGAGTAATATATCAATTATACACATAAGGTCATGCAAAACATATTTTTTAGTCAGGTTGCAAAAAAAAAAACCCAACCCAACAACAACAAGAAGAAAGAATCAAAGTGGAAAAAATATGCTTCAATCCGAGCTCAGAGATCATCAGTTCTGTAGATGGAGATGTACAATCTTTTTATCAGGGGCCTTTGGATTTGTCCTGGATAACTGTATTGTATAGTTCCAAGTATTGAGAGACAGCATGATATGAAAATAAGGAGCCAGCCTCGAAGCCAGGAGTCCCACCAATCTCTGACACATACTGACTGTGTGACCCTGCTAACCTCCAATGGGTGATCAGTCAGGAATTACCTGTGTCAAAGAAGTGACAGGTTCAGTCCCTACCCCTAAGTAGAGTGGAAACTAGCTCGCCAAGCCCCGAACTGGCTCTGACACTTGGACAAGTCACTCTCCCCCAACCTCCATCTCCTGGGCTCAGTTTCCTCATCTGTAAAATGGGCATAACAATAAGTCCCAGATATGGGGAAACCCCTATAGGAATGAGACTTTTTTTTGTTTTTATAACTTTATTATTGTAATAATAATCATGTGCCCAGCCCAATGATGGGGGGGGGGAGGCAGCAACCTCACGTGGTCCCACCCTCCCAGAGGCTCACACTTGCCTCCTCCCCTCCCGGCTCGCCCTCCCTCCCTCTTGGCCCCCCACCCCGTCGGCCCGGACAGGGCGGGCCGGGAGGGGGCGGGATGTGAATGAATGGGGCGGGCGGCGCGAGGCGGGCGGCGCCCTCCCGCCCCCCTCCCTCCCTCGGCCCGCCGGGGTGAACGGGCCCGGGGTGACGGGGGGGGGGGCCGGGAGGAGGAGGCGAGGGGGCGTGGCCAGCTGACGCGCGCTGACGCGCGATCCCGGAAGCGGAGTGTCAGATGCCGAGGACTGGGGGGGTTGTTGTTATTCCCGAAGTCGGAGGAGGAGGAGGAGGCAAAGTGGGAAAGCGCGTCCCCGCGAGGAGTCGCCGGAGCCGGAGCCGCCGCTGCGCGTCCCCGCCGCCGCCGCCGCCCCCCGCCAGGCCCCGCCGCGTGCCCGCGCCCCAGGTAAGAAGGCGGCCGCGGGCGGTTGGGTCGGGAGAGCTGGGGGTAACGGACCCACCGCCGGACTGTTGGGCGGGGGGGGGGCGGGGCGCTTGAAGCTGGGACCCGCCCCGATCCGAGGCTGGCGGCGGCCGCGGGGGCGTGGTGCCCCCTCCTCACTCTCCGGGGTCCGGGGGTGGGGGGAGTCGGCGGTCCCCCGCTCTGCTCGCGCTGGCCGCACGTGCTGTCCCCGTCCCTCCCGGGCAGGGCCGGAGCCCCATGAGCCCGGGGGCCCGAGGATCGTCCCCGCCCGCCCCTCCCGCCTTCCCCTGGACCGACTCCTTTCCCCTCTCCCTCTGTTACCCCCCAAATCGCTGAGTCATCCTTCTGGGGGAGACACGTGCCCGGACCAGGGGGCGGAGGGGGAGACACGTGCTGACTGCCCCGCGGAGAGACCCGGGACCAGCACGTGGCGTCCCCGGACCAGGGCTGGGCGCACGGGGAGGGGGGGTCAGAGGAACCCCTCTTCAGGCCCCCTAAGAAAGCATCAGGGTCCAGGAAAGCAACCGCTCCGCGCCCCTAAGAAAGACAAGCCAGGCGGCGGTGAAGAAGGCAGGCAGGGTGGGGTTAGAAAGGGGACGGGAGAAACTCTGGGCTCACCCCCATCCGAGAGTAAAGGAAAGCAGAAAGGAGTAGGCATTGAGCCATGCCAGAGAGTTAGGGGTGAATCCAAGGGAGGGGGCGGGAAGGAGCATCGCCAGGGTGGGGAGCATGCATGGGAACCGGCCGGCTGGAGGGGTACCGCGGTGCTCTTCTGGGCAGACCCGGAATTGTCAGAGGCTGTCAGTGGGGAACTTCTCCCTAGCCTTGGTGACAGCTGAACTAAAGTTCTAGCGTCTCTGTGCTGTTTCTGTTTGGCGTCTGTAACCCGTTTGCCCAGTTCTCCCCCTAGACCCTTCCTTCGATTTAGGCGAGCCAACTATCAGCCTATCCAGCTGTATTTCCATATGTGCGTGCAAATGGTTTGCTGATAGTGCATAAGCACCAGTAAGTCTGGGGCTGTAACTTTATAGGATCTTGTCTGTCACGTTACCCTGGCCTTTGGGCTTTTTTTTTTTTAGTACAGCTGTTGCATCTATTTGACACACAAATTTCTAGGTTTAGGAATCTGATGGCACTAATTAACTAGAGTATGAAGCGTCTGTCCTTGTTAAGTTTCTGGCGTCGCCAGCCTAAAAACACCTAGAATCTGTCAGATGGCCACTGAGAAGGCTTGGCTCCATAAGAGTGTTCGTTTGAGTAATGTCTAGCAGTTGACCCAAATACAGTACGAATAATCTTATGCCACTGGTGTACGGTCTCCATTACAGACCATCCTAGATAGTTCTAATCTGTTTAGGATATTAAATTAGTAGATTGTGACAAGTTGAACTTCAAAGACCTCTGCCTTGTACTTAAGAGATGTCCCAAGATAAGGTATGATGGCTTTATGTGCCAACTAGAAAGCTCCCTGAATTACATTTTTCATTGTCCAGTTTAGAAAGTCTAGGAAGGTAACTCTGTTTAAAAAAAAAGTGCTTAGAAACCTAGGTAGTATTTTTTTTTATTAACCATTTTGGACTACTAAAGAAAGAAGTTGTTGACTTTAATAAATAGGATCGTGAAAGCTGAGTGATCCATTAAGAAAATGGCTAGAGAGCCTAACCCTAGGTAATATCACTCACTTGTGCTGACAGTCATTTGAAACTAATTTTGGTTAATGTTTACCCTTTTGGAATTTTAGTCTGGGATATTTGCTCAGACAGGAAAGAGTGGATTTAAATACAATATTCACATTAATATCCCTTTGTACTTGAGTGTTCTGTAAGCTAAAGAGTTAAAAACGTTCTTAAAGTTTTTTTTTAATTTCCCGTTTTACAGATGGGAGTACTGAGGCATAAAAAGTGACTACTTTCTACTCCCAAGAGATCAGTGGCAGAGGTGGAAAAAAGAGAGATTTCCAACTCCAGTCTTTTTTCTCAAAAAAGTGCATTTTTAAAAAACTAAATGAGAGATTAAAGAGTCATCTCAGATGACATCCCCAAAATTAAATATGTTCAATTAAGCCAATGCTAAGAAACAAAGCCGTAAACCTCCCATCTGGAATAGCCCCCAGCGTAGTCATGTGTGGGAAAAGGGGTTCCTATCGGAGGCAAGAGCCCCGGAGCCAGGCCGACCCTGTGAAAACCGGAAATAGCCTCCATTACCTTTTTTTTCGTTCACACTAACCCTCCCATCCCAGGTTAGCCCGGAGGCCAGATTTGCTCTGAAAGGGGCTAAATGAAAATTTTAGAATAGTTGCCTCCCTTTCTATTTCACCACGAAGCCCTTTGAGGTCACGTGTGTGAGATTGGGTGTACCCCACGCCCCCAAAGCACCGGCAGCCTCTAGCCTGGCTTAGTATTTAATTTATTTACCTTGCTGCTTCCGCACTGAGGGAGCCGGTTCAACTTGTACACTCTCTCTTCCCTTGGTAATGCTGAAAAGCCTTCCTACCGCAGTCACTTCCTACAGATGACTGGCATTGCTCCTATCCAATAGCGTTATACAACATCAGCCAGAGGGAAAGGGAATTTAACCCTGCTCTTACCAAAAGTCATATTGTGATGGGGAATGAAGTTGGGAATTATTGCTTCCATTGTTGTTTATTAATAAATATTTAAGTGACTCAATATTTACTTAGTGACTTGATTTGTGTGCTTTGAGCTTCGGGCTTTGGTGTCTTCAGTTAGTATTTCTAGAGTGACTACATTGTAAGTTCATAGGACAGCAAATGTGACCTTCCTCTTCCCTATCTACCAGATCTTTAAAGTGAAGACTCTTATCCCTCTTAGTAGAGTTTCTTCTTGATTGAGGTAGGTCTAAAAGAGCAAAACCAATCATGTTGCTACTCCTCAGGTATTACATACAGTACTCACTTTACACAAATAAGCAAACTTTTTATTTGCCCCAACTCAGGGGGGTTGGGGTGGGGAAGGAGTGAGTAATTTGATTTTGGAAGGACATGCATTGTGTATACCTTGTATTTTTAATTTTGTGATGTTGGTTTGTTTCCTTTTTCGTCCTGACTTTTAGCAGCCAAGACAGAAACTAGGACATCTACTCTTCGGTAGGTTGGGAAGTTAGTTCCTCCTGCAAGCAGTGGATTTTTATGAGTGTATGTAATTTGCCTTACACACTGTCCTTCCCTCCACCTTTGTCTGGTGTAGTCTAATTGTCTCATGTCCTGTTTGTTGACTTTGTAAAGGGCTCTGCTTTGTTGGGATCATCTTTAAAGGACATCCTGATACGTGCAGATGTAGCTTAATGACATACCATGTTCAGCTTGTTCCAAACCTAGTGATTTTTTTTTTAGGTAAACATGGTAACAGAGAAGACTGGATCAGTTTAAAAAACAAAATGGAAAACAATTTTGAAATCCAAGCTTGAAGTGTTGGATGGGGGGGAGGTGGCATTTTGTGGAGCACTGTGAATGCATGCTATGTATGCAAATAGCTGGGGTACCACCTGCAACACATTGCCTCAGAAGGAGGAAAGTTAGCCACTGTCATGTACAGGATCTATACTTCATTGTCCATCTGCCATGCCCCCTTCTCTTTCCTCCTAAGATTAAATAATAAAAACTTTTCATTAAAATTTTGGAGGGAGTTTTATAAACTAAAACCAGAAATCCTCCCTAGAATGAAATTTGCCTTCCATACTTAAATACAGCACAAGCTTTAAGGGAATCATTCCAAGTATAGCATTGCTTGACTTTCAAGGTGGTTGCTAAAAATGGGAGTTGAGCAGAGATTATTTGGGGAAGGCAACATTTACTATGTGTCAGAATTGGCTGAATCTAATTTCTCTCTCTGACACTATTTGGGTCTTTATCACGAGCCTTTTTCAAACCACGAAATTTTATCTGCTCGAATTCTCACCTTAACCATAATTTCTCTGGTAGTTGCTTCGTTTGTACACAAACTCAGGCATGACTGTGATTATTTTCCAGATATTTATTTAAAAATCACATTGATAAAGTTCCTGAGTCTGAAGGTTCCTGAAACCATCTTGCTGGATTCAGGTTCTGGTCCATAAAGGAAATGGAAAGCTGGCCAGCTGGGAGAATTTTCTGCGTAGCTTCTCCTTGGAGCAGTAAACAGTGACTCACCCTTCTCTCTCTATTCCCCACCCTCCCTGTTCTCTGTTAATGGGAGTTATGGCTAAATACTTTTGCTTTCCATAATTTCCAATGTCGTCATGTTTCCTTTTTATTACTGTTTTAGGAAATTAACAATTGTCACTTGTCTTGGGGAAAAGAGGACACTTCTAAAAAGGCATAAGATGGAGGTTCATAGGATTAAAGATTTAGAGATGGAAAGGACCTTAGAGGTCAGGTAGTCCAACTCCCTCATTTTGCAAGTGAGGAAGCTGAGGCCTAGACATGGAGGGCTTTGTGGTGGAGAGCTCTTTGTAGTAATCAGAAACTAATACGGCATGCCTTGGGAACAGAAAAATATTAGCACCAAAGTTAACTCACCTGACCCTTTATCTGCCTAAGATTGTTTATCTTCTCTGTGTGTGGTTAGCACATACCTGTGCTACATTTCATTTCCGTTTTGTGCTGGGAGATGGGACAGTCTGGAGGTCAGAGCTGGGTCAAATGAAACAGTTAAATGAAAATACAGAGTGTAGGCAGTAGGATGGAGGTTCAACCTTCTGACAGCAGTAGCAGCTAGGCCTGCCTTTGAGCAAATGCAAGGTGACCAGACACATTCCAAATTCAAGTAGACAGGCATTTCTTGCAGGAGGCTGGCAGCCAGAGCCTAACCTCCTGGCTACAAATGAGCTGGGGCGAGGTGTTAAATGATAATGATGCTGGGGATAGAAAAAGTAGAGCACATCACTAGCATCCATGCTTGTGAGACAGAGGCAGAGGAGAAACAATTATGACTTCTTCACCGTTCAAGAATTCTCCTGTTCCAGAGGGTTAGAGTAGTACCTTACTGCTTACGTTAACTTAGTGATACCTTACCAAGTTTGTGGAACAAACCGGAGTTATTCCCAATCAACTGATTTTTGTTGAATGTCTTCTGTGTGCCCAGCACTATAGTGTTAGACACCTGTTAAAGTGTCTAAATCTCAACTTTGTATTGCTCGCTAAAATAAACTTTGCAAGAGAAGAGTATAGCACATCCACACAGATTCCATGTCTCAGTTATTTGTAGCAAGTCATTGTTCTGCACCTCATCTGCTGCTTTGGCCTTCTTGATTGTGAACGTTGCATATGCATCCCTCTTAGGTCAACACTTGATTCTTCCACTTCAGGGCTTTGTCCTTCCATGTATTGGAAGTCATCACATCTGATACTTGTAGTGATCAGAGCAGCTTCTTCCAATAAAGGGGTTTAAAATGATGTATGACAAGGTGTGGGGGGAAAGTGAAATTGAAACTAAAAATGTACAGCGTAATATTCTTCTTAAAAGTACATAGAACTTTCATCTTCTCAAGAGGCCTCAACATCTCATGATATAACTTGAAGTGTTAGAGACTATTAATGTATGATCAGGTACTTGATTTTCTTTATGAGGTAAAATCTGAATTCTCTTTGAGCTTGGAAAGCAGAATCTTATCTGTCAGGGCAGTCATCACAAAGAGCGGTAGGGCTGTGTTAGGATGCTTGTAGCCTGCAGAGTTTTCCATTATGAATGTCCCTAAAACTTAAGACTAAAAGGTCACAGAAGAGGATCTGTAGTAGTCATCCCTAGGCTGGCAAGATTGTGTACCTAAACTACTCTAGGTAAGTTGTCTTTTCAAAAGCTGTCTCTAAGGAAAGGAAATTCCATTTCTACTACAGTTTTCCTTTTTTATATGTGAACACTCATCTTCAGCCTCGTCTTCTGTTATATTTCTATCCTGGCCTCCAACTGTTCCTTCAGACGTATTAAAAGACCCAAGAAGAACCTGTGGCCTTCCCCTGGATCTCCCATTTATTTGAATTTTTATCACATAATAACCACAGCTTGTGATTTCATCAAAGCCTGTTTATGAGATCAAAGACTATTTATGAGGTCCTTTTTCTTCTAAAGCAAATTAATTGCCCTGTTAATACTTATTGAATGTACAGTGACATTTAGGTACAGTTCCTGGTTTGAGGTTAAAAACCTAGACTCCTTCATGACCAATATTGGAAGATTTTCCTTGTCCAGAAACTGTAGACTTCAGTTACTATACTATGGTAAATAAGTAAACCTTCACAAAGGATGCTTCCGCAGAACTAGAGGGGAAATAAACATTCTTAGTTATTAGCTACAGAGAAGAGAGAAAATGACTTGCTAAATGCAGCAAGAATTAGAATTCTTAATTCCAAGCCCCCAACATGGTGATTAGTTCACTAAAATTCTCTCACAATATCACTAACATCCCAAAATGTTTCCACACATCAATATGCCTACTCATGTTAAAATTTTGCCAGTAGATTTTAAGTCAGACATAATAATAGGAGGTTGATACTGCCAGTGAGAGCTTCAGTATCTGTGAACAGTTGCTAATGCTGTACTCCCTTATTTTAAGCCAATGGTAAAAAGGAAAACACTTGTTTAAAGCATGTTGGCAAGTTACAATACCCTGCAATGCTTGGTTTAAACTCTTGAAAATATTGACTCTAGTCTCTAAAACCCTTGTGGTTTGAGCCCTGATTAATGCTCTTGTTATGTACTTTCCTGACATATGTGATCATTGGTATGGTACTTCCTAAATGCCAGTGGTTTCCAAGTACCATTTTAAGGATATTTTTTCTCCTACATTACCTTCACTAATTCTACAAACAGCAAATGTATGAATCTCTATGACATATACAAAATACATCTGTTTGGTTGCCTTTCCTCTGTAAATAGATTACATGTTCTGCTGTTGGTATTATTTTAAGAAATTTTGGGCAATTTTGCTTGATTTTTAAAAAAAAAACAACTGTGTACCTTTAGATGTGTGTACCCTAAGACCAAATAACATAGAGTATACCATTGTTATACTTCAATGATTTGCCATTTTGGTGGTACTCTTCTGTACTGACGAGAGACCACAGCTCTCTTTACTGCACATAGTCTTTGTGAATTGCTGTGGCCAGAAAAATTTCACCCCTTGGTGGTCTGCCTCCTGGTAATGATCCTCTTTGCCCTTATAGAAGCTGATCCTTAGCTGACTCAAGACTTCTTGTCAGATCCCCAAATTGAAGTCTTCCTACCTACTAGGACCTACTTAGTGTGACCTCCTTTTTCAAAATATTTGGGAACTGGGGTGAGGAATAAGAGTAGGACTTAAGGGTAAGGACTCCCAACCCAGGGAGTGACAAGAATAACAATACAGGACTTCTTCAAGGCCCTGTAATTGGAAAGAGTACACTTTAAATCCTTCAGTGAGAAGCTGTGGGGAGGCAAGTATGAGGAATCATGATTTGCTTTTGGAGAGTAGAGGAGGAAAAGGCCATCATGACCAAGAAAAATAGGCACTTACACATTTAATACTTTTAAAAAATGGTACCATTCTGATCTATTTCCTAGTATGAGTCTTACTGTCATATTTTAAAAATAGTTTCGTACAGAATTTGAAAAATGTTATGTTTAGAAACTGAAATAAAGTAGAAGAAAACAATCTGAAATTGGCAAACCATCTGACTTTTACAAGTTAAGCAACCCATCTTTTCTGCTTGCCATTCTAGTCTGATACAAGATGATCATAGATAAAAAGTGATACCCAACTTTTTCTCAAATTTCTCAATTTAGTAATCTGGCCTGTCCAGAAGTAAGATAGTCTAAGACATTAACCAGGATCTCTCCTTCAAAGCCACGTTGTTGACCTGGGTGAATAACATTCTGCTAGAAAAGCTAATAAGTCTATTCTGCTGCAGCATTAAAAACCTTCCTGAAAGAGCCTGTGCTCCAGTTTGGTGATTGGTGGCCTGCGCTGTCCAAGGAGTCGGTGTCTTATCTGCCTTATTTTCTAAAAGTAAAATTTAATAAGGGGAACAGAGAAGGTTGCTGAGGATACATTTGTTTTTCCTTTAGACCAGGAATTTCTTAACCATTTTTGTGTCATGGGTGGGCCCCCCCCCCCCCCGTTTTGGCAGTCTGGTGATGCCTATGAATACCTTCTCAGAAGAATATTTTAAATAATTGAAGGAAATGCTCAATTTCAGTTAGAGCCTAGCAAAAATAAAAATGTAAAAAAAAAAATTTCCCATTCAAGTTCACAGACCCTCCTGAAACTTATCCACAGACTCCTTGGGAGTCCATGGTTGTTCAGTCAGTCAGTTGCATACGATTCTTTTTGACCTCATGGACCAAATGTCTATGGAGTTTTCTTCACAAAGATACGGCAGTGGTTTGCCATTTTCTTCTCCTGTAGATCTTTTTGTCAGGCAATCAGAGGTTAAATAACTTGCCCAGGGTCACACAGCTAGGAAATATCTGACGCTGGATTTGAACTCAGGTCTTCCTGGCTCCAAGCCTAGTGCTCTATCCACTGATTTGCCAGCTGGCTCAGGTGTCTGTGGACCCTGTTTTAGACTCTTTATTCCCAGCCCATTTATGTGACCCTTTTCTACTCTCATCTCACTTCATCTGAGCCCATAGTGAAGACTTTGAGACTCCAGCTTCGTTTTGTCTCTGGGCTTTTTGGGGTTCAGATTTTTTTACCTTCTCTTTTATTTTGTGTTCATGTAGCCTGATCATCAAAAAGGACTTAGGTACTAGGTAGTGTGAAAATAGAGGTTTGTTCATTTCATATACGTATCTAAGAACCTGTCAGATTGAGCCCTGAAGCTCTTGATGTTAAATGACTAGTTGACTACCCCATGTACAAAAGCAGTAAACATTTTAATAAGATACCATTCTATGATATCACTGATGCTGTGGGGGCAGAAGATCAGTTTTTGCTATTCAGAATGACAATAGCAGTCACGTATTGGAATATACTCATCTCTACCTCCATTACAACCCCAACAGCTTCTCTTTGTTTTGCAGTTAACATTGCTTTGAATGAAATCGGTCTGGGCACAGAGAGAGGTGGGATGAAGTTCTAGTCTCCTCAGTGTTGATAGGTGCAGGCCCCTCATAGGATGGCCAGCTCAGAGGCCAGCTAGTCCAGCCTCTTCATTTGACAGATAGGGAAACTGAGGCCTAGAGAGGTTCAGTGCCTTGCTTGAGTCCTCAGTCATCAGAGTAAAGGAGCGATCTCCGGCATACTGTGTGTGTAGCCTCTGCGGAGTCCTGTGAAAGGTGAGTCAGCTTGTACATAGAGAATTCACAGTGTGGACTAACTTCTGGTATTGTATTGTTATACTTATGTTATTTCTACTCCTTGTAACAAGCATTCTGGTAATTAAATGTATTATTGGAACACATACTTATCATTTATGGAGATGTTACTAAGTTGACCTTTTCTCTCGGGCTCCAAAGTAGCCAATCAGGTTTTCAGCTTTTTCGTTGAAAACTCAAAAGTCCAGCGAGTGAAAATCAAAACGCTTTTTTGGGCAGTCAGTGGATTTAAGCTGTGCTCCCCTTCTTCTCCACTTTGACTTTCCTTTTCCGGTTTTCCTCTGCCAAGTGCAAGCAGTGGGGACTCAGCATGTGTATCCTTGTAGGGATGGGAGGGGTTTCTGGTTCTGTGGGAATGTGAGCTCTCCAACTCTGTAAACAGCTGGTGACTCATTGCATAGCTATGTCACAGACTGACTGCAGGGCCTTATGCTCTGACGCTGTGTGTGTGTGTGTGTGTGTGTGTGTGTGTGTGTGTGTGTGTGTGTGTGTGTGTGTGTGTGTGTGTGTTAGAAGCCTGTTCCTTTTCGACATGGAAAAGTTTTTCTGCACTTTCCCCACTGCCAGGCTCCAACAGGTCGGTCACTGGGGCAGTTTGAGCAGTGCTGATTCCTGACTATTTTCTCTGAAGCCATTTTGACTTCTGGTACCAGGTCGGAGGGGGAAAGGTCTCAGAAAAGTGTGACGTCATGTCACGCTGATAGGAATAGATTCAAAATTCCAGAACAGGTTTCTTCCCATTTGTCAATGATCATTCCACTACAGCCTCTCCCATTTCATTCATACATAGGCATACAACTGTATTTAAGAGTTAAGTCCTTTCTGACAATCTGAAAGTAGCCCTAAGATGCCCATCTGAATCTTTATTCTAGTATGATTCTACTCATTTTCCTGGTGTCATTAGCATGCTCATAGGGAGTGCAGTCGTGTTTTTACTAAGGGCTGTTCTGTTGGGGTTATTCTTGTAGGTTTTCTTCTGAAGATCTGATTGTACTACATCCTTTTCCCTATTTCTTTATAACTCCACAAAAGAGAGTCCTCTGGAGACAAGGTGCAGAAAGGACAGATGGAGGAAGAATAAATGGAAGATCAGAGGGCAGAGGGTCCCAGGTGCTGCTGCAGCCAAGGGATTCTGTGCCAGGGGCTCATTTATCACAGCTTGTCTCCTGGCAGTCTGTGCTGCAGGAACGAAAGTGAGACAGACGAAGAGAGATCAAAGCAGGCGGGGGAAATGGAAAAGTACCCACCCTGTCTAGTCCATATCAAAAATAGAGATTTTAATGTGTCCGCATCATTTGGAGTCAGAGGATCCTCTCCATCTCCAAGGTCTAACTCTCTGATTCTTTTTCTTCCATCACATTTTGTCTAGCATTTGGGTGCAGGTGGGGAAGATTAAGGGAGGGAGGTGGCAGCTTGTATATTAGTTGTTTGTGCTCAGGCTTGCCATCAAGCCTAGTTCATACCTTCCCTCTTGACCCCTTGGCCCTTTGGCCCCTTCCCCAGTTGTTTGGGGATATGAATAAGTTTGTTTACTGTCTGTTGACCTCGTGATGTCTTTGCACAGACATGACCCAAAGTCATTATTCCTTTTGGGCTTCTCTGTTTCCATGACTACCATCTCAGGGTTGGCTACTTTCCCAAGGTCACCATGGCAACTATCAGAGGGGAATCATGCTTGGGATGCTTTGGCTGGGTTTTTCATGAATGATTAGAATGTGTGACACAATGCAGACGTGAAAATGAGAAGGGAGGGTGGAGGGGACTGGTTGGTGGGTGGCTGGGGGGAGAACTCCCGCCAGACAGTCTGTGTGCTCCCTCCATACACCCAGTGCTGCTGCTGCCCATCTCACTCTCCAGCTACAGGCTTCGAAATCCAGCTCATTGACTCCCTTGCTCATCAGGGACCACGGGGTAGTCTCAGCCGGAGTCCTTCCACGCTCTTCAGATCGTGGGGTCAGGATGTTGGGGGCAGCATAGGAGGAGGTGGTGATGTCACAACTGCAGTGCCCTTTTCCGCGGTAGGTACTCGATGGGCGGGCTCACCTGGCAGCATCGATGCTCTGGAGGCAGGGTACCAGGAGGAGGGGCCTGGGGCTAGGTTTGGGTTGCAAATGTTCCAAACCAGAGTTCATTGTGAGAGGGCAAGGTGACAGCAAAGGATGTCATCTCACTGGAGGGACCACCTTTGGGGTTGCAGTCAGGTCTCTGGACTTATCACTGTAGACCTTGGGAAGGTGGGAAATGATGTTTCTCAGGGTGTGGGTGTGTTGTAAAATATTGAGCAGTGCTGCTACTCAGGCAAGGTTTCAGGTATTTCACCCCTTACCATTCTGTAAATTGTTGCTTCAGTTCTCAAAACATGCTGTCAATCTCCATTACATCTGAAAATGTAGCTCCTTGTTCTGTGAGGTGGAATAACACAGAGTGTGAGGAATGTCTATGAATGGTGTTTCATCCAAAAAATGATACATTTCCTGCAATATAGAACTAAGAGGAATGTTGAAAACCTGACCATTGGCTATTGGAGTGAGAGGAGGGGTTGCTGGTGCTAGATAGTTGTTTTAATACAATATATTAACAACTGCATATGGGGCCTCCTGAACACTAAGAGCAAAAGTATCCATGACTGTGAAAGTTGCATTGTAGCATCACTTTTGGGGTGGTGCTTTTAGAATAAAATGTCCTCTCTGGACCTGCTTTTAAAGAAGACAAGAATTGTGTGGCTTTCGGGACTGTGGGTCTTCTTTCATCATGGTTAGAACAATGTTTATAGTTAGATCCTCTTTGGAATGGAAAATATCATCTCTCTGAGAGTAGCCTATCAGAAGATCCTTCGGGTGTTCTGAGCCTAGGCTTTACTTAACCTATATTTGCTTTTTGTTTATTTTTCTTTCAGTTGCATTTTCCAATCAGTTCTGTCCAGGTGACTGTGCCCAGGTTATGACGACTAATCCTAAACCAAACAAGGCATTAAAGGTAAGAAGAAATTCCATTTAGGCGGTTTCAGGTAGATCCGAAGAAACTTTCAGAAACTTGTGACAAAATCAGGTTCTACCAAGAGTCACTTATATGGAATAATACCTCATGTCCATAAGAGCATGGGTATCTTTATTCCAGAGTTCAGAGCACCTTACATAGTAGCCCATGAGTTCAACATGGGCTGACCCTACCCTCCTGACAGGGACCTGTGTTCAGGTTTTGTTGGATGAGAATTGGCAGCCTTGAGAAGTAGGAAACCAGTGAGGGAGAGTTGGTGAGAGTATGTAGGGGCACCTAACTTAGAAGATAGGAAGGCCCCATCCCTTGCCAGCTCAGTGCTGGTTGGTGATGGGATAACATTGAGACCACTTAGGTTCTGCTTCCTGGGTGCTTTAGAATGAAAGCCTGAGGACTCCTTTTTTAGATCAAAAATCAGTAGTCTGGGACTTAGCTCTTTAAGGTCAGGCAGGGACTATTTCATATTCTGTCTTTGTATCCCCAGCGCCTAGCAGAGCGACTAACACTAAATACTTAGCAGATATTTCATTGATCCTGTTCTTTGGGCACATAAAACTTCTCAAGTGCACTAGAAGGAACATCTGAAGCTTTTCCTATGGAGCAGTAATGCTTAGAAACATGGAGAGAAGCAGGGGGATGGAAAATGATTTATGTGGAAGATTTTTGTCTGCCACATCTGTCATCTAGCAGGGTTTTTTTTGTTTGGGTTGGGTTTTCGTTTTGTTTTTTAGTATAGAGGCTTCTGGTAACAGTGTGTGGATTTAATAGACTTCTTTTCTGGAAGTTGAAGGAGGTATTCTCTTTTGCTATGAGGTGTGGGACTTTTCAAATTGAGGTTTAAAGTTGATTTATTGCCTACACGTGTTAATGGAAGATTCTAAAACAGCCTGTCATACACATGTTTCAAACTGGCCAGGCCAGATTCTTAGCTTGCTTAGATTATATACATATTCTTATTCATTAGTTTTTCAGTGAACAGTAACTCTTGTACACATTCTTCATGAGAAGAATGCTCTTCGGTGCCATCCCTCCAAATCACCACTTGTCAGGTAGAGCCAAGATGTCATGTTTTCCTTTGAGGAAATATAGGGGACAACTCCACACATTGCCTTGTATAGCTTTGTAAAGCCCCCTAGGTATTGCTCTGGATTCCTCTGTAAAGCCCACTTTAGCAATCCCAGCCATCTGCCTCCACGCACTTGTAGGCAGCAGGATGAGGTCACCTAGGCTGCATGCTCCCCATTTTCCTGGCTGTTAACCCTGGGCCACTGATGTCTTGCCAGGTCAAGAAGGAGTCAGGAGAGAACGCCCCAGTGCTCAGTGATGACGAGTTGGTATCGATGTCTGTGCGAGAGCTCAACCAGCACCTCCGGGGCCTCACCAAGGAGGAGGTAATCCGCCTGAAGCAGCGTCGGCGCACACTCAAGAACCGGGGCTATGCCGCAAGCTGCCGCATCAAGCGGGTGACCCAGAAGGAGGAGCTGGAGCGGCAGCGGGTGGAGCTGCAGCAGGAGGTGGAGAAGCTGGCCCGAGAGAACAGCAGCATGAAGCTGGAGCTGGACGCCCTGCGCTCCAAATACGAAGCGTTGCAGACATTCGCCCGCACCGTGGCCCGCGGACCCATCGCTCCCACCAAGGTCGCCACCACCAGCGTCATCACCATCGTCAAATCAGCTGAGATTTCATCCACCTCGGTGCCCTTCTCGGCTGCATCCTAGTGCTCCAGGCAGCTACTGATTAGAGGGTGGGCAGGGTGAGGGCGGATAGGACTGGCAGCCCTTTGAGAAGGGGACAGGGCAATGTCTCTTGTGTTTGGTCAGAGTCTCCTCAGTCCTGTTGAGTCGATGTTGAGTCCTCAAAAACAGTGCAAACTACCTGTAAAGGGACCCTCAATGGCTGTTTCACAGTGGCCTTTGATGGTTTGTGATAGGAATTTGAGCTTGGGTGTAAGATAAGGGAAAGACCTTTTGTTGAACTACCCCATTCAGCTCCCCTTTCCTGTTTCACCTTCCTTCCCCATTGCCAGACCTTTCTTTCCACCCCTTTGTGACGATAGCCGATCTTGTTATTGAGGAAAAGTTTATTTCTTGAGGTGCCTCTTGGATGTTTGGCAGCCAGGAAATATATATGGGACCCCAAGATTCACCATACAAGGGACCATTACTCCAGCAGATTCCTCTGTCAGCCTATGGCAACTATTGTTCAAGGGGACCTCTGCACCATCTCCTTGCCCACCTGAAGAGGCAGCATCACATCTGTTTTGTGCTTAAAATGAAACTTAAGTGGTGACTCTGTAAACATGATCTATTTGAGATGTACCAGTTAGAGAAGGCTCTCAGTTTTTAGCTCATATTTTCAACAGTTTAACGTATTTTCAACTTTCTTCCCCCTCCCCCCAGTCTCTCCTCTACCCCGCCTCTCTCCCCTATGTCCCCCAGTCATGAGGAATACATTTTCAAGTTCCTGACATGACTAAATGCCTGGCTTCCCTCCCTGAGCAAGACCTGAACAGAAGGCATGTAGTGCAGCTTAATTCTTCCAGGTGTTCTACATTTAGAGTGCACTCACAGCCCTGTTTTAGCAGTTAGCTTAGGATTCCCTGGTGCTCCAATAAAGGAGGTGTAGAAAGTATTAGGTAGGCTTTCGCGTGTGTGCTCATGCACACGTGTGCACAGGATTCCCCAGGGGAGATATCATAGCAGTATTACCAGGCAGAAACTGAGCAGTGGCAAGAGAATGTCTGCTCCACAGAGGACTGATTGAGTACAAAGGTGTTATTTAAGGAGTAACAAAGTGTTCAGGATGGTCTCCAGAGTATAACCAGCAGGAGAGCTTCAGCAGGAAGGAAGTAGCATATGCTGGGGAAACCAGGACATCTAGACACCCGCTTATATGCAAACGGGGTGACTGCTGGAGAGCACAGGGAGCAAAAACAGTCTCCTCTTGTTCCAGTGGGGAGCCATCCATCATGGGACGAGCTGCCAAAACAGCAGGCAGGTTATTGGACGCTGGTAGAGAGGAGGGAAGCTTCGAGGAGGAGCCAGTGTACTTGTTCATTGATTTAGAGCAGATCTGCTGGTAGGCATTTCAGAGCTGATGTCAGCGTCCTTACTTCTACGTGAATAGTGTCTTGTGTTCTAGGGATCTGCTTGTGGTCAGCTCTTCTCCATGTAAGTGAGAACACTGAGTCTCTGAAACATGGTCATTTTGAGGGACCCAGAGAGGAAATACCAAAAAGAAGGGTTCTTGTTGGGGAGGAGACTTGAAGAACAGAAGCAAACCTTTGGTTCCAAGGAAAGGAGGTGAGAAGGGATTAAGGGTGTTGTGGAGGGGAGGAGAGGGAGAGAGAAATGGAGGCATCAGATCACTGATGCTCCAGCCTGGTATTTGGTAGCCGAAAGACTTTATTTGGTGCCAGTAGAGATGCTGTCTTGTACAGTACACTTGACATAGTGGTTCCTGTTAGAGATGAGACAGGAAGTAGCCTTGTGTGAGCCAAGAGAGTGGTGTGGGGAGCCGATAGGGCCTAGAGAAGAAGGGGTCAAGGGTAAAGGTTATCTTGTGCCACTGAAAGAAATAGAAAATGAGTGTTACAGAAAGAAATAGAAAATGAGTGTTACAGAAGAGACTAGAATGTGGCTTGAGGAAATTATTGTTGTCTTGATTGACTAAAGAAGGTAGATGGTGCACTCTAGAGAGGAAGTATGTTTTGAACTTGATTACTGAAAGTTTGAGGTTTACCAGGTGGATCCTCGAGAATCTAATTGTGCTCTTTTTCCACTGCATAAAAGATGAGGGGAATCTGTGCAACCTTGGTGCTCAAACATCGTCTGAAGCCTTTAACTTGCTTTTTCTTTGCTGAGCAACTGAGCCATCAAAGATCTCACAGTAATGTTTTCCTGTGGCTCCTTCCCAATGGAGAGTAGTAAAAGCAACCTCAGAACACTTTCTGGATGACTTTATTAAACGTTTGGGAAGGTGTTTATTTAGCATTACTACTTCCATATCTTCCACCCGCCCTGCTAATAGATTGGTGTTGACTGTTAAGGTTGGGGAATGAAACTGAGCTAGGGTCACATTCCCTGGTCAAGAAGCATATTCTATAAAGTCCTCTGGATCAACTAAGTGCAGGTGCAGTCTGGATTCTTTATGTGTAGATACCTGTATGTTTGTCTATGGGGTGGGAGGTGGGGAAGAGGAAGAGTGGAATGTGATGCCTATCAGTTGGCTTCGGGGAAGGTTAAATATACCATAGCCCAAGAGCAACCCTGCACTTGGAGAAAGCTTTGTTGGGTTCATCAGAAAGAAACCTTTTTCCCACCCCATTTCCCCAGCCCCCTGCCCCCATTTCCCTCTTACTCTGCTCCCCCCCCACCCCTAAACAAAACACACAAGCTGCAGAGGACCTTAAGGGTCCTTAACCACATAGGGAGGCTATCATAGGAGTGACACAGGCCCCAAGGGCTGAATCTTCATTCTGTGTCTCTGCTTGTTGGAATAAAACAAGAAGTATCTGAACTTCTCCAGTGGCACTGCCATATGGCTGAATAGCTTTCCATTTCCTGGAAGAGTGCCAAAGGGTTTGGCCAAGCTGAGAGCCAGGTCTCTACCAGTAGGCACTTGGATTCTTCCAAAACAAGAGGCCTGAGTGTTAATAAAGCTGTTGATACCATAGCCATGGTAGGTAATCCATATTGGATATCAATAAGGACCACGTGGAAATATTTAAAGAGAGAGAGAAAAAAGTAAATATATATATATATATAAAATTATATACACATTTTATCGTACAGATTTTTCGTAAGCAAAATTAATTTTTTTTTCAAGTTTGATACTGTAAATCTTTATTAAAAATAATTGTCAGGTCAGGAGTCCCTGACCTGGCAGTTTGACCTGGGGGTAGAGAATGGGAGTGTCTTCCCTTCTTTATCCCTAACTCTTCTGCAAATGAGTCATAACCACAGGCTCTATGGAAGGAGGGATCTATTGGCTGCTCCCCACACCCAGTTTTCCCTCTTCCATTCTGATTAGGGCTCTGGCTCTAAGGCCCATGCATTCTAAATTCTATTCTGCATGACATTCCTCTGAACCACTGCCCTAGGCTTTTGGGATGACCCCAACCAGGGCTGTAACTCCCACCAGATGTCATGCCTTGGCATTTCATTCCCCAGGTGCTCCAGCCAGATCCTCTCCCCAACCCTGCAGTCTGCTCCACAGATACCCCTCCCAAGCAACAGGATTTCCTGCCAACCCCTTTTTTCCAGGGTAGGTTTCATTCTGAACTTCTTGGTGTCCAAGGCTGGAGTGTTTGTTCTCCTTACTTGTGATACACAGTAAAGGCAGGTGGGTTTTTAGTATTGTTGTTGTCACCTTTTTCACACATTGTTGATGCCCCCTCAGGATGGGAAGGACAGTGCTGTGCATGGACAAGTCAATTTTTACATTGAATTTTTGACCTGTAAACCCCTTCCCAGAATGCAGGAAGGGTGGAGGGCTGGGGACATGTCCAAGAGTTACAGTAGATCAATAGCTGTGCTTGCCTGGTCGCCTGGAGGAATTTTGGAAGTATGGGCAGACAGCTGATCAGTACCTGAAATCTGAAGCTGTAGGCTGAGTAGGGAGCAATGCATTTAGTGGAAGTGGAAGAGAAAGCAAGGTGGGGGCAAGAGGATGATAGTGCTAAGAGAGTTTGGTATCCCCTGGAGATAATGTTGGGCATAGGCCGGCCTGGGAAAGAGGTGACATTTTTTTCTCTCTCTCTTGCCCTCCCTTTCAAATCATTGAAACTTCATTGTCACAGTTTTAATATTTTGGTTTTCTTTTTTAATTTAAGAAAAAAAGTCCATGACCTTTTTGTAATGTGGATTTGCTTTCCTTTTTCTCTTGTGCTTTAATCTTCTGGGACCTTTCCATAGAAGGCAATTCCTTTGCTTCCTTTTTCCCCCCCAATGATAGGGACAATCTGTTTAAGTTTTTAGCACCAGCTCATTCTGTCCTCTGTGGTTATTCAGTAATTTCATTTCAATATTTATTTTTGTGCTGCTTTTTTATTATAATATATAAATTATTGAGAATATACCAAGTAATGTGGATTCCTGTTTGTATGGCGTATAGCCTAGTGTTTGTGTCCATCACTTTTCTCTTCTGACAGCCACAACGTAATTTATTGCTGTACATTTAGCTGCTGTGACTGGTTTTGTACCTTTCCAATAAAGCATTTTTCTGGTTTTGGACCTGTCCTGGTGTGCAGTCATTGTTTTTGGACTTTGGATTAATGGGTGCTTGTGGGCTTCAGCTGCTTCATATTAACCTGTTAAAGGTGTTCCAGACCTCTGAACAATGGCCACATCACCCAGGACAGTGAGAAACACCGTCATCCCCAGGCACGCACACCTTGAAAGGGGGCATAGTATGGATTTAACACTGAAACAGACGTTAGAAAATATCTAGTTAATTACCCTCATTTCAAAGACAATCTTAGCTAGCGTTTACACAGTTTGGGAGTTTGTAAAGCACTTTTCATATGTCATTTCGTTTGGTACTTAACAACAACCCCATGATATACATGCATTTATTGTCTCTATTTTACAGGTGAGGAAACAGACTGAGAATGGTTAAATGACTTGCACAGCTACTAGGTGTCCGAAGCAGGATTTGATCATAGGTTTTCCTGACTCCCAAGTCCAGCACTATCTACAGTAATACCCAGCTCCTTACAGGAGGAGCAAACAGAGCCCTGGAGGTTAAGTGACTTGCCACACAAGTTATACAAGTAGTAAGTGGCAGGGCTGAGGTTCAAACCTAGGGCCTCTGACTTCAATTCAGTGCTCATTCTGTTGCTCCATAACACTAGCAGAACAAGGGCAAAACCTCAGTATGCTACATTTGGAAATTTGCCAATCATTCTCCAAACTGCACAGCTACGTCCCTATTTGCACATTTGGAAAATCTGCATTACATTGACCTGCCATAGCAAGAAGTGGAATTGCATCCTGCCTGTAAAAGGGGAGCCAGAAATTGCATTCTGTCTATAGCCACCTACCAATACGTTTGTATATCACAGTATCACAGATTCAGAGCTGAAAAGGGCCTTAGGAGGCCGTCTAATCTAGCCCACATTCCCTCGCTCCACCATGTTTACAGATTTGGAACTGAGGGGTGCCATAAGAATGGTTAAGTGACTTGCCCACGGTGTTAAGTGTCTGATGTGGGATGTAAACCCATGTCATACTGACTTCAAGTTCAGTACTTTATCTGCTATACCATCCTGCCTCTCTTACTTCATGTGTCTCATTAGATGAAATTTGTTCTAATCCTTGTGCAGTGGAAGTTTCTCATAGCTTAGAACGAAATTCTAACCATGTCATTATTCTAAATTTTTATTGATGCGTTAGCTTGACGAAGGCTTTATTAGTCATATTTCTTAATCTAATGGTGAGGTATGGATTAGATGAGATGACCTCCCTTCCAAGTTTTGAGTTCTACGATTTAAGACTAATAGTCCACTGAATCTGTGACTTCATTGATACAAGGGTTTCATACATGTAGATCAACCCATGCCTACCCATCCGGTGCACTCATCCATATTCTCCCATAAATTTGCCATGGGGATCCATCCAACATGCCAGAAGTCTTCCTCAAGGTCTTTTGACATTTGGGAGATATGGGGGAAATCCAGTTCCATTCCATTGAGAATAGATGTGATGGTTCAGATTCATTGGCCCCCATTTGAATATAAGCCTCTGAGGGCAGGAAATGTTTTCCTTTTGTTTGTGGACCTCTAGCATCTAGCACGGTGCCTGGCGCATAGGAAGCACTGTAGAAATGTTAGAGATGATGGTGATGATGTTGTGACCGACCAGCTCGTCAGTGATAGGTCAGGGTTTAATTTATTTGGGAATTGAATAAACCAAGTAGGTTTGTGAAAACCATTTAAAGTTTTCTATTGTACTTCCAAAATCTTGAATTTTAAATCCATTAGGGTCAGCATGGTAGGCCTGCGAAGAATGGTTTGTTGTCCAGGACTCAAAAGGTTTTAGAAGAAAGCTTGGCCTGTCCCTTCTTGAGCTTCTGGCCAGAAGCCCAGCTATCTCCTGGTAAACTATTGTCACAGGAATGATCACATCATAGGGGCTGAGATAATATAGGTGAGCTAGTAGGCATTCATGGGGAGGAAAATGTCTCAACACAACTTTTAAAAGGTGTGGCTCCTGGAAGTCCTCCCTGATGAGACGCAAAGCTAGAAGAGATGATTGCTACCTGAGAACCACAGGACAAACCCATACAGACCTCCATGTGGACATGGCCATTGAATGTTGGAGGTTTCCAAGCTAAAACTCCATCTTTAACCTCTGCCTAACCTTTGGAGTGTGAATTTGGGAGACTGGTTTGTTAAAGAGTGACAAGACAACATGACCAAAAAATGGATAGGGCTTTGGCATCCTGGGGAAGCTATAGAAATAGAATCATAGGATATTCAAGCTCAAGTGGACCTTGGAAGGTATCTAATGCAGCAGGGTCAAACTCAAGCAGAAACAGGGACCACTAAATGGTACGTGATGATGCCTGTGGGCCACATATTGACAGAAAACCACATACTATCTGTTTTATATTTTTATTTTTTAAAACTATTTCCCACTTACACTGAATCTGGTTTGGGCCACATTTGGGAGTATTGTGGGCCATATATGGGTCACAGGCCCTGTGTTTGACACCTCTGGTTGAGTTCAGTAACCCAAAAGAAACTTAAAGGAGGGAGAAACAGATCCAGTTAATGACTTACCCAAGGTACTGCGTCGATTAGTGGCAGGACTGGGTATCAGGTCATAGAATCATAGAACAACATTAAAGGTAGAAAAGGCCAACTCCCTCCTTTTATAGATGGGCAAACAGGCCTGATTCAGTCCAGAACTCCTTACACTATCCCACTGTAAAAAGGTTCAGCTTACCTGGGCATTTATTTAGCCATTATAAATTTGAGGTCACGAGACTTTTAAAAGAGCCCTACTTTCCCTTTCCCCTAAAAGCAAGGAAAGGGCAGTTTGAGGAAATGAAAGACAATCCTAGGCCATACCCCCTTTTGAGATAACCCTGTGATGTTCAACATGCATGTGTTCATCACAGATGTGCTGACCGAGAACCAGTGTGGCTCTATTTTAGACCACCATAAATAATACTAATGGACATCTGTTCATGGCTTTAAAGTTTACAAAGTAATTTATACACATTATCTCATTTGAACCTGGCAACAGCCCTGTGAGGTTAAGTGCTATTATCCTGATTTTACAGGTAAGGAAACTGAGACTGGAGAGAGGTTCAGTGACTTGCCCAGGGTCATAAAGCTAGCAGTTTTCTGAAGTGGACTTTCAATCCAGGTCTTCCTGACCTTAAGCCCAGCACTCTCTCCACTTGTGCCAAAGGCAATGATTCAGGCTCACCGTCTGAACATAAGGATCTCACAGGAGTACTACGTCACCTTAGTCTGGGCAAGTTGCCTTTTCCAAAGGCAATATGCTTCATTTGCTTAATGCAGCTGGTCAAGCTTTGACAGCTGGGGCCCGCTTCCCCACTCCTTATCAGAAAACAGGTTTTACTGCATCCCCTCTAAGGAACGTTTATTGCCTCACTTGAGGCAATCAGTGGCTACTGAATGAAATGGGCTAGTCTGCATCCACAGGAAGATTAGAATTTGCAGCCTCTGATCCAACTCAACTGTTTCACAAGCTAAGCTTACCATGCTGCTGAGCAAAGGCCTGACCTCTTTTGCCTTTAGGCTCCTAGTGAACTGTGGAGGACAATTGCAAAGAGGCTTGTGGCCTTCCTGTCCACCTGTCGCCATTCATGCCATCTCAGGATGAGAACACAACAGATCAACACATCTTTTCCTACTTTCCTGTTGTCCTTCTGGCCCCTCAAAACTTCATTGCTTGTGGTGGGGTCTCAGGTTAAGCCCATCTGGTGCCTGATCTGGATTGCTGACACCTAGGGTGTGTCTCCCCCTCCACCAAATAAACTTGCTGACCTTGTGTTTTGTTGAGACTGGTCTTAGAAGCAGAAACATGGGTGTGGTCCTACCAAAGTGGGGGTGGGGAGAGACGGAAGGCCAACTCTCAGGTTTGCCAACAGCCGGAGACATTGTGATAAGAGAATGACATTCCCAGCCAGCTAAGCAGAGGCTGGACTGGAAAAGTCGCTGGTGTATCTTATCGCAAAGTCCTGCTGTTAGTACATATGAGGGATGGCCAGAAGTGGGGGCAGGGATTGGGAACAGGAGGGGTGTTTCAGGAACAGAGAACTAACTAGCCTGGGAGTCAGGCTGCCTGGATTCCCACTCTCCAAAGGACCCCAGGGAATCAGAGTTCTTAGCACTGGAGACTTTGTCATTTCCTCTTCAGCTAACTCTGACCTGAAAACAGACACTGGCCTGAGGAACCTGAGAAGCAGCCTAGAGAACTCTCTGGCCTCAAGGTAGTCCCAGGGGTTCAGGTCCTAATCCAGGGACACATCTGTCCACTATCATTTCTCCTCCCCTTCTAGCCATAACTTAGCTCACTTGGGGCGACCTTGAGCACAATTATCTAGTAAGTAGAGTATTCAATTTTCCCTCAATTAAGAAGGGATAACAGTCCCTGCCCCCTGAATGACCTCATAAGAATGAATGAGATCACCTCTGAAAAACACAGTCATGTAACATAAAGAGAAGGTGGTGTTGACATCAGGCTTCGAGTGCACCCCTAATAGCTGGAGGAAACTCAGGGGCAGCAGAAGATAATTCCTGTGCTTCTCCCCTACACCCTTCATCCCAGGGCAGTTTTCAGCCTGACCCCACATGAAGTTTAGCTAAGCCTTTAGCTAAGCTAAGATGGACTACACAGAAATAGAAGCCAGACAGATCCCTGGGGGTGGGGGGGACAAAAACAAAAGGACATTTATATAAAAATAAAAGCGATTCACTTGGAAACTTGTGACACGTTGTGGCGTGTCTCACGATCCTCTGACCCATGGCACAGCTGGGAAAGGAAGGCGTCGTGTGGCTTACAGCCCACTCCCCCCATCCTCCTTCCTAGACAAGGAAGTACCTCGAGATTCCCAAGTCGGTCCCTGAAGAGTGAGACTTCACTAGAGCCATGCTGTTTAAAGGCTGATCCGTCTTTTGGACATAACTTTCAAAGCCTGTTCATTCCCACTTTCCCCATCACCTGCCAGTCTCCTTCCATCTAAGTACTGACACTGGAGAGAATTCTGCTGTCAGTCTTTGAGGAGAGGAAAAGAAAGGCCATGGTTCATGTTCTGTTTGTTTTTAATCCTCCCTTGATTATAGACATCTGTCCAGGGGACAATCCTTTACCTCACTGTGTCTCCAGCAGGAAAAAAAAAATAATCTACTCAAGTCTCAGGATCTATTTGCAGTTCCCTGGGATCTCACTGTGCACCCCATCTCCCATCTGCCTCCTCTACATCTTTGCATAGGTTGCCTCTCTCCCCCCATACCTGTGACACCTCCCCTCACCACTTCTTTAGAAACCTTAGATTCTTTCAAGGCTCAGCTCATGTGCTATGACATCCCCCTAAGTTGTTACCTGCTTACTTTCTGCTAACCTGCCTTCTCAAATTACTGGTATTTACTTATCTGTTTGTTTTTATCCCCTGGTAGAATGTAAGTTCCCTAAGGGCAGGCACTGTTTCTCAATTCTGTCTCTGTATCCCTAGTACTTTGCACATAGTTGAGTTGACTAAACCCAAACAAGTTTTCTCCCCCTTCCTCCATGCGACCTGCTCTGATGTTTGTTTATACAGCCCCAAAGGGGAAGAAATGGGTTCCTAATTCACCAACAGCTCTGCTTTCAGCCAGACCTAGACAGGCCTGTGTCCACTCTGTGGAAAGCGACAGCTTTCCAGGAAGAAGTCCCTTTCACCCATACAAACCTCTACAGACTAGCTGGAACAGCCCTCCCACTCTTGTCTCATGCTTGTGAGGTCTGGGTCCCCGGTTCAATCTCCTTCAGCACAGGGACATGTAGCAGGCAGTGTCAGGGGTTGGGGAAGGGTCTTTGGTGGCACCTCTGACAAATTCCAATGCAAAGCCCCTGAGGACATTCTAGTTTTTGGCTGTAGCTGGGGGGTAGAACTTTGACAAGTGTCATCTAGTCATATGTCCCCTGGGTTCTGGGTAACTCTGAGGAACAATACTTTCTGGCATGGGGGAAGCTGGGCAAGTCCTAGCATTACCCTACACTTAGGATACTCCATGGATTCTCCTCTTCTGCTGCCCCCTGTAACGCTCCCAAAGAACGTGACCAAGCAAAGGGACCGACATCAGGTTCTCTGGATCAGAGGGGGAGTCTTTAGAAGTTAGCTCAGCTCAGAAGTATCCCCAGTCCTCAGACTCCCTATTCAAAATCAGAAATCCCTTTAAGAAGGAGAATGAATGCGGTTTTGGGTTTTTTTGGTCTTTGTATGCCCAACATTTAGCACAGTTCCTGGGACACACCTGATGCCTAATGATTGCTCATTGACTGTGGAAAGGAGGGTTCTCTCTTGGCGAGCTCTGTTGAAGGCATTGACCCCAGTCAAACAGCCCAGCAAGAAAGTACATTACTAGTCACTAGAAGAATCTGAGCAGTGGGATTGGGGGTGAAGGGGGGGGCAGTCTATCAGATATGAAAACACAGCAGGACTGTAGACCCCATGGTCACGGTAGGGTGGAACCAGTCTTGGAAAAAGACCTCTCCTGAGTAGTTTCATGTTCTTTCCCATGGTCAGGACCAGTTCTTAGAACTTAGGCAGTGGATTGGTAAGAAGGATAGCGGTGGGAGAATGCAATACCCCCTCCCCCCACAGCCCACATGTACTTGGTGGGGTTATGTTGACAACTGTCCAAGAACAGCTCCTCAAGCAAAAGTTGACTCCCAGGGTATGAAGTCCTTGCTCCCTCAGAAGCTCCCCTACAGCTCATCTGAAAGGATTAACATCCTCTTTTCTATGTTTTTGTTCTTCTTGCCCCCAGGAGGATGGGAAGTAGAGGTCGTGTTCCCATTTTGCCCCTGTATTTTGACCTCCTGCATAGATTGCTGAGTGTACTGCTGGTAAGTAGGCGAGAAGTTGTGGATGGCATCCTGGACGATGTCTTGAGGGCTTATGGTTTCCTTGAGCCCACTGGAAATACTCTGCATGGGAGCCACTGTCACTGAGGGCAAAAAGTTAGAATGAGTGCAAGGCTAATAGGAGGTCCAGAAAAACCCCCTCACATTAAGAACCATCCCCTAACTGAAGAGGCTACCTTGGGAGGGGGTAGGATAATAGGATCACAAATCTGGAGCTGACCTCAGAGACCACCTAATCTCTCTCATGTCTCAAATGAGGAAACTTGAGGCCCGGAGGGGTTAAAAGGCTCACCCAATGTAAGGTAACACACTAAGCCCAGCTATCTCCTGGTAAACTATTGTCACAGGAATGATCACATCCTAGGGGCTGAGATAATATAGGTGAGCTAGTAGGCATTCATGGGGAGGAAAATGTCTCAATACAACTTTTAAAAGGTGTAGCATTCATGTCAGCCTAAGTCCTCTGACTCCCAAGATAGCAATCATTCTATGTTGCTCTATCTCATTAGAGAGATTGGACTGTCACATGTGTCATGGTATGATTTCTTTGCAGGTATAGGTTGGACTGGATGGCTTGCTGAGGTCCCCTCTAACTATAACTGATTCTGTCTCTAGGTCTGAAAAGGAGGAAGGGACAGACCCAATCCTCTGTCTCCAGCTCCGGCTCCCAGTCTCTGAACTAGCCCACACTTCTGGCCATCTCAAATAGCTGAATGGCTTTTACTCTTAAAGATAATGATAACTGGCATTTGGAGAGAGCCCAAGAGTTTGTCAAGTGTTGTACACAATCTCATTTGAGCTTCATAACCACCCAGTGAGGTAGGTACTACAGATAATATGCTTGTTTTACAGATAAGCAAACTGAGTCTCAGAGAAGTTAAAGGATTTGCCCCGGGTCACTCACACAGCTAGTGTCAGGGACAGCTAGCTATTATTATCTGTAAAATGAAGATAGTGATATTTGTTGTACCTATTTCACAGAGTTGTTGGGAGAACTATATAAATGCCACTTTCCTCCCCTGAGTCCAATAGTTTAATAACAACCCCTATGATTCAGAAAGTGGCTTATAACTTCTTGAAAACTCTCCTGACTGCACTTTGAGTTCATTATCTCTTGTTCTGTACCCATGGGAGACAGAACAGCTGGTCTCCATCCTTTGGATCCAATCACTTTTTAAATGAGCTGTTCTGACGAGGCATTTGTCTAAGTGTGACCCAGGAGAACCCTATCCCAGCCCTCCCCTTACCCAGGTGTTCTGTGAGTTGGTGTCTTAGTTATATTCCTGTTCAAAGTATGACCGTGTTTCTATAATTGTGGTCCTGGACCAAAACAACCATTTGCTTGGGATTTTTAATAGAAAAAAACTCAAAAGCAAAAAATAGCACTTCACTGGGGTCTAATCAAGCAACCCTATCCTATCCAGTAACTGTTTGGGAGCAGAAATGATCCACAGACAGAAAGGGCACAAGAATTACTACCCAACATCCTTGTCTAAGGCCATTCCAATTGGGACCACTCAGCTTCCATTTCCTTCTGGCCGTCAGGGATGGCTTAGCCTTTGAGCTAGGTTCCTTCCCTGAATCTCTCTGCCAGGATTTGGTGTGGTAAGGAAAAAAACAAAAAAACCAAAACCATTGGATTTGGAGTCAAAAGATAGGGATAGGAAATAAACCTCTGATTTTGTCAACACAGGGGATTCCTGGGTGAGGAAACTCCCTTTAACAGTGCAGGTTGGCATCTCCACAACTTCCAACCTTAGAGAGTTAGATGGAGCACTGAAAAGTTAGGTGATTTGTCCAGGTTCCTATAGCCAATATGTGTCAGACATGGTACTTGAACCCAAGTCTTCCTGGGTCAGAGGCCAATCCCTATCACCTATGGCATAGTGTCTCAAAGAATCAGAGGAATTGAGGTCAAATTCTGCTTCTGTGTGACCTTTGCTGATTTATTTAACCTTTCTGGCTTCAGATTGCTTAACAGTAAAATGGAATTAAACTAGAGGACCTTTACTGTCCTTTCCAGGACGAGCTCTATGCTGCAAATGAAGTTCTTGCTCAGATCCCCATTTTCAGCTATCTGGACCAGCTGTGGAATTACTGGTGTCCAACTTCAACTCCATCGAGCCCCAGATATTTGGCTAGGGTTTTCCCCGATAAGGAGGCAAAACCCCCAGAAAGCAACAATTTGTCTGGTCTTTCCTTCCTAATGCCCAGTTTTGCATCACAGTTCCTGAGCTTGATGGGACCCTATGGCATATCGCTCATGCCTTCTACAAACTGGGAGGTCTCAATACCACCCACTTGACTTTGGGAGAGTCGCCTGAGCAAGTTACCTGGTGAGTCTTCCTTCTTCTCTGAGTACACCTGGCACGTGAAGGCATAGCGTAAGGCAATAGAGGCAAAGAGCATCTCAATGCAGATGATGAAGTTCTGGTAGCCAGCAGCCACTGTCCCAGCCCCCACCTCATTCCCATCAATGATCTGCACCTCTGGGATCACCCCACACTTTTCCAGGATGGCCAACAGCATCCCTATGGGAGTAACATTGAGAGTCTCATTAGAATCAGAGACAGGAAAGGAGAAATAACATGGCTGATGGGGAGACAGAGCTACCCCGGGCTCCACCATGACAAAATAGGAGGTTGGCTGTGTTTCCCATAATAGAAAATGAACTCTATTCATTTCATTTGGCATGGCCTTTTTGGTACAGAGTTATAACAAGGAATTTTTGTACCTGAAAAAAGGGAGGGTGACGAGTGGGTATGTGGTATGATGTGGAGTTCTCCTAGGATGTGGAAGAAAGTTCATCCTGGAACACCAGGACATGGAGGATATTTAACCTACTGAAGGAGGGATACTGTTGGGGATGCAGAGGTAGCTGCTAGATGGAAGAAATGTTTCCAGGATCAATGCTGTTGGCACCCTCAAATGTTTGGTACTCTGCACAAAGCTCTGTTCTCACCACTTTAGTTGTGGATCTGGGGACAGGCATCTTTGCTCATACCATTCTCTATGTTTGAAAGGGTCTATTTCCTTCATCTCTTTCTGCTATTTGAAATCCTTCCTATCTTTCATTTTTAATTAAACATTTTAATTGATGTTTTCTGATCACCTTCATTTATGAATAAATCCCACTCCTTTTTCCTCCTCTATCAAATCATACTTTATAACAAAAAATAAAAAGAGAAAGAAGAAAAAAATAGTTCAGCACAACCAACCAATATATTGACCAAGTTTGATAGTATAAAGACTATTATACCACACCCACAGTGCCCCATCTCTGAAAAGAATGGATGGAGATCTGTTTTCTTAACTTTACTACAAGACCAAGCTTCTTGGTCATTCTACATCATTCAGTTTCCCTTTTTTAGGGGTGGGGGTGAGGTGGGGAGGGTGAGGTGGGTGGAGTTTTTTCCATTTACATTGCTGTAGTCATTGTGTATAAGGTTTTCCTGGATCTGCTTACTTCACTTTGTGTTCGTTCCTATAAATCTTTCTATGTTTTTCTGTAGCCATTATATTCATCATTTATTGCAGCACAGTAATATTCTTTACATTCACATACCACAACTGGTTTAGCCATTCCCCTACTCAATGGCCATCTACTTTGTTTCTAGTTCTTTTCTACCACCAGATGGTACTGTTATGACTATTTTGATGAATATATGGGACCTTTGATTTTGTCTTGGCTTCCTTACGGCATACATATAGCAGGAGGATGTCTGGGTTAATGGCAATGTGACATCTTAGTAAATTTCTTAAGATAATTCCAAACTGCTTTCCAGAATAGTTGGATCAAGTCACATTCCACACACCACCCAAAAATGTCCATATCCATCTTTGGTCACCTTTGCCAACTTGCTAGGTATGAGGTAAAAATCCTATCCATCTTTTAAGACTTAGTTCAAATGCCTCCTTTTCCTTAAAGCCTTCTTTAATTACTCCAGTCAGAAGTGATCTTTTCCTCATATCACTCATATATCTTATATCACTTATATATATATATCACATGTATGACTCATATATCTTATATCACTCATATATCTCATATCACTTGTATGACTCATATCTTATATCACTCCTATATGTCACATCACTTGTATGACTCATCTTATGTCTTCTATCACTCATATAGATTACTTGTATGATTCATGTATTTTATATCACACATATATCTTACATCATTTATATCATTCATATATCTTATATCATTTCTATCACATATCTTACATCACTTATATTGCTCATATATCTTATATAATTTCTATCGCTCATATCACTTACATCATTTATATACCTCATATCATTTATATCACTTATATATAACCCCACTCATAGCTTATACCACTCACATGCATTATTTCTATCACTCACATATCTTACATCACTCATATATCTTATTTTTGTTCAGGGAGGGGGAAGCAATCGGGATTAAGTGACTTGCCCAAGGTCACACAGCTAGTAAGTGTCTGAGGCTGGATTTGAAATCAGGTCCTCCTGACTCCAGGGCCAGTGCTCTATCCACTATGCCACCTAGCTGCCTCTACTCATATATCTTATGTATCACTCATACCACATTCTATTTATATTATACTTATGTGTGTTTGGCTCATCTTCTTTACAAGACTACAAACTCCTTCAGGGCAGGAATGGTTTGGGATTCTTTTATCTTGGTATCTTCCTCCAATGAACATAGCCCCTTTGCTCACATTAGGCATTCAATAAATGTGTGTTGAACAAATGCAAAGAGTTGATCTTCTTCTCCGTAATCTTACATTTATTCCAAGGCCCTGATCTGGAACTTAGATGTCATTAGGATGAAGACCAGGGCAAAAGAAAGAGGTGATTCCAGTTCTTATAAGGGAATGGGGCACCAGTAGAACAGTGGCATACCTGAGCATTTGGGAAGCCTTTTGAACTCACCAATGAGCTTGACATAATAAACTACTTGAGGGCAAGGCCTGTGCCTTTTATCTCCTCTGTATGTACTAACGTATGGAGGCACAGTACATAGAGTGTCGGGCCTGGAGGCAGGAAGACTCATCTTCCTGAGTTGAAATCTGGCCACTTAATAGCTGTGTGACCCTGGGCAAGTCACTTTTGCCTCAGTTTCCTCCTCTGTAAAATGAACTGCAGAAGTATCTCTGCCAAGAAAACCTCAAAAAGGGTCACAAAGAGTCGGATACGACTGAAAACAACTGGACAACATGTACTAACAACTTCTTGCCCTTTGCCATGAGCCCTACAACCTTCACTGCACCAGCACAGTACTGTGCACGTATCTGAAACTCAGATGATACATAGTGCAATGAGCCATACCCAAATAGGTTCTCTTTGGAGAGGAGGTTTGATTCCTTATGTAAGATAAAAGCAGAAATCTGAGCTTATTTTGGAAAGGACAAGAAATATCTTTGTTTATGTGGCTACAGGCATCAAGCTGTGTTGCTTTGTGCATTTAAATCATGACACTTTTCTCTGGACTTATTTCTCCAGTCATAAATGGAGAGTGTTGATGGAGATAAATAATAATACATCTCTATGGAGTGCTTTGTATAGCACTTTTTTTCCTGTGAGATATGTAGTAGAAGCATTTAGTTCCATTTTACAGATGGAGAAAATAAGGCTCAGAAAAATAAAGTGACTTACTCCAAGTCACAAAACTAGGAAATAGCAGAGCTGAGACCTCTAACTTCAAAACTAGGGCTCTTTCCACTATAGTCCATTGCCTTCTTTTTTGTTTGTTAGTTAATTATTTTTTAGCATTTTAAATTTTGAGTTCTGAATTCTCTTCCTCCCTCCCATCTGTCCCCCACTCATTGTGAAGGCAAGAAATATAGCATCAGTTATACATATGAAACCATGCAAAACACATTTCCTTCCATGTTAGTCATCTTCAAAAAAAAACCAAAAACAGAAAAATAAAGTGAAGAAAAATATGCTTCAGTCTACACTCAGACTCCATCAGTTCTTTCTCCAGAGAGCCCATTGCCTTCTAAAAGGAATCTCCTTCCAACTGCCCCCAGCATCCCCACCCCCACTGCCTGGCCAAGTACTGGGCTTATATAGCTGTAGATGGCATTTTTCTGGTGACTCTCTCTTCAGGGTCCCATCCCTTCCTATGTAAAGAGGTCAGAGGAGACCTCAAGGTTAGCAACCTCACTTTCTCCATCCTTACCCACCTTGCCAGAAGGAGAGAAAGATGACAGCTTTGATGGTGAGAAACTTGAGGACGGGCTCAAAGGGTCGGAGAAGGTCACTGGTGGCAAAGTAGAAGAGGAAGAGGGCGTAGAGGGCCAGGCTCACCGAGAAGTTATAGACAATGGTCACGTAGAGATAGCCACTGCGGGGACTACCGGCAAAGAGAGAGGATATTCACAGAGTACCCATATGTCAGCTCATCCTGCCCAATGATCCCCAATGATCCCCATCTTCCCAAACTCCAGTTTCAAGTTTTAATTCCCAACATGGATTGACTGCTCAGATCTAGTGCTCCTACCCGGTTCCGAGTGCCAGAGGCAGAGAGAATAGACAACCAGGCCATTTTGGTTTGGATGGAGAGTTCTTGAGGGGGAAGTACTAACATGAGACTAAATCCCCTCCTTTGTCTGTGCCCTCCCAACCCTGCCAATGTGTGTTCTTCACCTCCTTCAGAACTCCCTTCTCCAGGAAGCATCCCTGGGTAGCTCCACCCAGCCTCATTCCCTCCTGACTCTTCCTTCTCCCCACAAGGAGGTATTTAGTTTACATTACAATAATTTGTACCTGTTTACCAGTGTTCTTGCTGTTCTTATGTGTGATCTGTGCACTTGCCTTTGTGTGTATATGTTTTCTTTCTTCTTTGTTATATTTTAAAGTCAATGGCTAGAATACAAGCTCCCTAAGGGAAGGGAAAATGTCTCATTTTTTGCATTTACATCCCCAGTGCTTAGCACAGAAGTTGGCACACAATAGGTATTCTGAAAATGCTTATTCATTGATTGGTTGAGGGTGAAGATCAGATCTTTTTCTTTTTATATTTTCCCTGAGTTTCTAGAATAGTGTTCGGAAAGTGCAGGCGTAACTGTGTCGCCTCCTTCTCCAGCAGTTTCAGTGGCTTCCCATTGCCTCTAGGATAAAATGCCATCCCCTCTGGCATTTAAAGCAAAGTCCTTCACAATTTGGCTCCAAACTAATCTCTACAGCCTGATCTCAGTCACTAGTACCTTCTTGAATATTCTACATTCAAATCAAAATGGCCTGTTTGTTATTGTTATTCTCTTTCTCTCTCTCTCTCTCTCTCTTTCTCTCTCTCTCTCTCTCTCTCTCTTTCTCTTTTTTTTGAGGCAGTTGGGGTTAAGTGACTTGCCCAGGGTGAACTAGTAAGTGTCTGAGGCCAGATTTGAACTCAGGTCCTCCTGACTCCAGGACCAGTGCTCTATCCACTGTACCACATAGCTACCCCTCTGCTATTCTCTTGACATAGCCTTCTATTCTCTGCCTCATTAATTTCAACAGGGTATCTTGATTCCTCAACTCTGCTTCATAGAACCCCTATGTTCTTTAGAAGCATACCTCGGCTGCCACCTCCTCCCCCACCTTAAAAGGCTTTTCCTGCTACCTTTCCTCAGTTATTCATGCTTCCCTCCTAAATTGCTTCATATTTACTATGGCACTCAAAGCCCTTCCCTGCCTGGCCCCATCCAAGCTCGTTGGTTTTATTCCATATCCCTCCCTTTCATGCCACACCATGTCCCGATATACTGGCCTTCATACACAGCATTCCATCTACCTCCATGCCTTCATCCTGGCTGTCTCTTGTGCCAAGAATGTGCCCTGACCCTCATTACCTCTGCCCCTTAGATTCCCACCTTCTACTTTACTAAGCTTCTGATGACTTCCCCCATTGGTATTTTCCAATATCTGTGCATGTCGTCTCCTCTGTATGTTCCTCTAGGGCAGGGACTGTTTAATTTTTGTACTGGACACATACTGCTGGTTGAATTGAAACGAATTGAATTGGGGAAGCAGGGGGTGGTCCAAAGAACACATTCTGGAGTTAGAGGATATCAATTCAAATCCTTCCTCTGACACTTACTACCCGTGTGGCCTTGGGTAAGTCACTTAACCACTCTATGCCTCAGTTTCCTCATGTGCAAAATGAGAGGTTTGGATTAGATGGTCTCTTCCAGTTCTAAATCTATGGTCCTATGAATTGAATTGGCAGCTGGGTGCCACAATGGATAGAGCACCGGGCTTGGAGTCAGGAAGACCTCAGCTCAAATATGGATTCAGACACTAGATGTGTGATCCTGGGCAAGTCACTTAGCTCTGTTTGCCTCAGTTTCCTTATCTGTAAAATGGGCTGGAGAAGGAAATGGCAAACCACTCTAGTATCTTTGCCAAAAAAATCCCAAATGGAGTCACCAAGAATCAGACATGACTGAAATGACCGCACAACAACAACAATTAATTGAATGAAATGTCACTCCTAACAGAGGCAGCCCCCAAGAGTTCTCATTCTAAAATGAGAGCTGCCTCCATTCCCAGCCCCCAACCTCAATCCTTCTCTTCTCACACAGAGCCCCAATTTGGGGCACCACCTCGGTACTCTTGGCCCTCTCCCACCCTCTTGCTTCTGCCTTCCATGTTCTTACTTAAAATCTCCATCATTGTATTTGCCAACCCCCTGCAGGATAATGGTGGTCAGAGCCATGATGGGCTTCACAATACAAAACTGGAGCGTGGCCTGTGAAAAGAGAGAGGGAACGTCAGCTGAAGGCAGCCCTGTGATGCTCTAGGGCCGGCCCATACCCTCAGACCAAGCCCAGTTGGCCCCGTGACTCACCTGTTTGCAGAACCGAAGAAAACCAATGGAATAGAACATCCCCTGCAGACAGCAGGTACCATAGAAACAGCTGGACCTAGAAACCAGAGTGAAATAAAACCTACTGGAGTGGGCATGGGGGCTGCAGCTGGAGGTCCACATCAGGAAAGATAGACAGTAGGGCATAGTGTGGGCAGGGTGGCTTGGGAGACTCAGACAGAAATCTACAAACCCAAAAATCTGTTCACTGGTCTCCACCCACATTCATCTAATCCAGTCCCTTTCTTTCTGCCTCTCTGTCATAGCATTAGGCTGAGAGAGCACTGATGTCCTCCCATCATATTCTGCTCACCCATAAAACTCGAATGCACACATACTATCCCAAGTGGGCCAGATTCTGGTTCTGAGGGAGTGCTGTGACAGAATGACGAAGTAATTGTATTGGGAATCAAGAGAACTGGGTTCTAGTCTCAGCTATAAAATGAAGGAGTTAGAATGAATGAAACCGAAGGCCTTTTCAAGCTTTCACATTCTTTGAAGTTTTAAGAAAAATAGAACTACAAAAAAGGAAAGATAGCACTGTTCTTTCAGACCTCTTGCCTGACACCCCTCCCTTCTTTGCAGAAGTAGGGGTCATATGGAATATTATATCAGACATGCTGGTTGGTTTTGATGAAAATTTTCTTCTTCTTTTTTTTATCTTTGCTACCAGAGACAGCTTACTGGACAGGGGGAGGAGGGAGTAAATATTCAGCACTGAAGGTAATGTAAAAACAAAAGATACCAGTAAAATATTTTTGGGGAAAACATTGCTTGATTTGGTTCAGGCTTCCTAGTTTGGACTCAGCTCATGGTTTGCTTGCTTCTCCTAGGACCCAGGACATCTGGGTCCATGCTAAAGCTGCCTGAGAATAGGGACTGCTTCATTTTTATCTCGGTGCCTGGCACACAGTAGGTGCTTAATACTTGTGGCTGCCGATTGATTAATGACTTACTTGATAGGCTTCCCACGGATCTCAGCCATGATGGCACTCTCGCCTCCTAGGTACTCAAAGCAGAGGCTCAGGAAACTGTATATGACAAATGCTGGTAAGGACAAACAGGTGGCAAGAAGGACAAACAGATGAGCAATTGGGAGGAGAAACTACAAAATCCTGTATTTCTATCTTGTGGACCTATGATAGCCAGGAAGGCTCAGTTCTGAGAAACAGACAAGTGTGCCCCCAAACAAGAAATCCTTCATCTCCTCTTCACATGCTGCCACTTGGGATGAGAATTATCCATTTTAGACAACACCCTGAGGGTTCTCCAGCCTTCCCTTTGATTCCTTTTTTTCTATGCCTCTCTACAGTGAGTTCTCTTCAACCTTACAGATTTCAGTTGGCTATTTAAAATAGAAAACTATTTTACCATAGGGCAGCTAGGTGGCTCAGTGGAGATGGAGCTCTGGGCTTGGAGTCAGGATGACCTGAATGCAGACTCAGCCTCAGACACACTACCTGTGTGACCCTGGGCAAGTCATTTAACTTCTTTTTTTTTTTTGGCCTTAATCCACTGGAGAAAGAAATGGCAAACCAGTGCAGCATCTTTGCCCAGAAAACGCCGTGGACAGGTCCAGAGGGTCACAGAGAGTCAGACAGGACTGAACAACATGATACCAGCAAAGTACAAACTGTATAGAGTTACACAAGGACAGACTGCCAAAACAGGCACTGAATCTTTCTTCCCTCAAGTTCCTCATGCTTTCTGAACTCTCCTTTTTTTCCAAAGGAAATGTCTTTTTATGTCTTTTTAAATTTTCCGCCCCGTTCCTTTCCTTTATGTCTTCTGTATAAACATACCCCAGAGAGAAGCCCTTTGGGAATTTGGTGTCTCACTGAGCCTCCTACAGGCAATTTAGTGCTAGAGATTTGCCCGGAGCCGCTGAGAGGTTAAGTGTCTTTGTCTACTGTCACGTGACCAGCATGTTATGTGTCAAGGGTAGGATTTGAACCCAGGTCTTCCTGACTCCAAGGCTGGCCATAAAATATTGCAGGTATTACTGGGGAAAGTGATGCACAGAAAGATTAAATGATTTGTCCATAGTCACATAACAAGTGAGAGTTAGAGGCAGGATTCCAGGGCTCTGGGTCCAATAATCTTTGTTAGCCCAAATTCAATCTCAGCACTAGGTAGTACAGGTGATAGAGCTCTGGGCCTCAAGTCAAGAAGATCTGAATTCAAATGTGACCTCAGATATTTTCTAGCTGTGTGACCTTGAACGTATCACTTTACCACTGTCTGCCTCAGTTTCCTCATCTGTAAAATGGGGATAATGGTAGCTCCTAACTCATAGGGTTGCTATCAGGATCAAATAAAATAATATTTTTTAAACATTTTACACAGTGCCTGATGCATAGTAGGTGCTTAATGCATACTTATTTCCTTCCTACTTAAGCAGCATGATATAGTAGAAAGCATACTAGACTTGGAATCGAGGGTCCTGGGTTTGGACCCAACTTCTTCCATATACTACATATGTGTGATTCAGAATAGGTCATTTGAGTTCTCTGTGAGGAAAGTGTTTTTTATTCATTAAAATTCTATAATTGTGAGTTATTCTAAAGAACAGTCCATATGATGAATTTTCAAAGTGTTTTGTCCTACCTCTCTCTTATAATGCACACTCTTTTATGTTATATTTGTTAATGTAAAGACCATCACTGTTATGAGATTGTAACCCTTTGGAGGTAGAGACTGCATATTACTACTCCTTGTACCTTCCTCCATCCCTTTTCGGTTTTTTGGAGGTGACGGGAATTAAGTGACTTGTGCAGGGTCACACAGCTAGTAGGTGTCTGAGGTCGCATTTGAACACAGGTCCCCCTGACTCCAGGTCCAGATAAGTTAACAAGTGTTTATTGAATTGAATTGGGCCCTTTGTAATAAGAATAACCTGTGATCCATGCTGGCTTAAGAACTGTGTGTGCAGGCACCTGAAAGTCATTTTCCCTTCTCCTTTATGAGTAGCCTCTGGCCTGTAATCAAGGGGAAACAAACCCAAAACATTTATTAAGCACCTACTACTAAGGGCCAGGCATTATGTTAAGCAATCTCATTCGAGCCTCACAACAAACCTGGGTTGTAGGCACTATTATTATTCCCATTTTACAGATGAGGAAACTGAGGCAGAGTTTTAAGTGGCCTGCTCATGGTCACATAGCTAGGTTTCTGAAGCTGGATTTGAACTCAGGCCTTCCTAACTCCTGGCCCAGCTCTCTATCCACTGTACCACCTAGCTGTCTCTAGTAAGGATCCCTGCCTCTTTAAGGGAAAAAAAAAAGGCCCTGATAGATCCAACCCATAATAAAACCAAGTCCCAGAGACATGCTGGCCATGCAAACAAAGCCAGGGAGCTGAGATGCTGCTGGAGGTTCAGGCTGGCCCAATTCCGTATCTCTTGTGACTAGCAGAGAATCAGTATTCCATAGTGGAAAAATGTGGATTTAGGGTCAGAGGACATGGGTTTGATGTTTAGCTGTGTGCATCTTTTTGTGGTGGTTGGATGTCAACTTTGGAAAGAAGTCTGCAGCAGAACGTTCCAGGCATCTGGGCTTGTCTAACACTTTGTCAGTGATTTAGACAAGGGTCTGGGCGTGCACGCTTCTCAAATCTGCAGATGACGTAAACAGAGGGGGATAGCTAACATGTTCTATGAGGCAGTCGGCATCCAAAATGATATGGCTAGGACACTGTGCTGAATCTAAGAAGATGATCTACAATAGGGATAAATGTAAAGTCTTACCCGTGGGCTTTAAATTTAAATTTTTATTTAAAAATAAATCAGCTTTGTAAGGTTGGGGGGGGGGAATAGCTAGAGGGCAGAGAAAAAAGATTTGGAGGTTTTACTGCAAATTGTGGTAACATGGTATAGGCATCGAGACTGTAACAACACAGAATCCAAAAAACCATCTCAGGTTGTAGTACAAGATGCCTAGTGTCCAGGATTGAGGGAGGTGATATTTCCCTGTGCTCTGCCCTGGTAAAATCACATCTGAAGTCCTGTGGTCACCTCTGGTTGTCACGTTTCCTGAGGGGCACTGATAAGCTGGAAATCGATGCTTCTCATGACTTCACATGTATAAATGATGTCATATCAGGTGGGAGAGGAGCAGGAAGGAGGAAGAGAATTTGGAACTCAAAAGTTTTACAAAATGAACGTTATAAATAAATGAATGATAGCTGGAGATCAATGTTTTTTATGACTTCACATGTTATATTAATATTTTATTGGGTGGGGAAGGAACAAGGAGAGAGAGAATTTGGAATTCAAAATTTAAAAAAAATGAATGTAATAAATAAAAGAATGAATGAATGATAGCTGGAGATCAGTGTGTTTTTTTGCATGACTTCACATGTATAACTGATATCCTATTGGGGGGAGGGGCAGAAAGGAGGGAGAGAATTTGGAACTCAAAAGTTTTTTAATGTCATAAATAAATAAATGGATGAATGAATGAAAGAAAAGCTGATCTTCCAGAGGACGGTGATGGTAAAAGGCCTCCCCTCCAAATCATGCCATAGGAAAATTGACTGAAGGAACTGGGAATGTTTCAACCTGAGGAAGGGGAGATTTAGCTGGGATCTGGCTTCTGTCTTAAGGTTAATGAAGGGCTGTTATATAGAAGAGGGACTGGACTCATTGTACTGAGTCCCAGAGCTTGACTCGAGGAAGAACTTTCTTAGCCCCTATGCAAAAGAAAGTTCTCTTTCACTGGAAGTATTCTTCATTAGAAGTCATGTTTACTAGAGGCAGCTCTATGGTGAAGTGGAAAGAGTGCTGGGTCGAGAGTTTGGAAGGCCTGAGTTCAAATCCAAACTCTGACACTCACTACCTGTATGACCCTGGGGAAGTTACTTAGCAACCGCCTGCCTCAGTTTCTTCAACTCTAAAACAGGTACCTGCCAGGGTTGTTCCAAGGATCAAATTGGAGATAACATTTCTAAGGCATCTAGCAGAGTGCCTGGCACATGGTAGGTGTTTAATAAATGCTTGTTTCCTTATTTCAGGGAAAGTTTGGACGCCTCCTTTTTGGGTATATTATAGGGATATTCTTTGTCACATATGATTGAAAAAGGTAGGTAGCCTCTGCTAGGTGGCAAAGTAGAGTGCTAGGCCTAGAGTCAGGAAGACCTGAGTTCAAATCCAGTCTCAGACACTTACTAGTTATGTGGCCTGGACAAATCACTTCACCCTGTTTGCCTCAGTTTCCCCATCTGTAAAATGAGCTGGAGAAAGAAATGGCAAAACCACTCTAGTATCTTTCCCAAGAAAACACCCAAAAGAGGTCACAAAGAGTCAGACATGACGGAAAACAATTAAACAACAATAACAGAAGGTTGAACTTCCAAACTCTAAGATTCTATGGCTGTGTGATTTCATATCAGGACGTCTCAATATTTTTTCTTTCCCTACCTCTTGGCTTTTGGCAAACCTTCTCTTATCCTCTATTCAATTTTAAAGTAAATAAATTCAAGGGTTTATCATATATAGGAACATAAGAAAACAAAGAGATCAATGTAAAAGGAAATAAATTCTAGCATTTACCTTGTATCACTGCATACAAAAATAAAGTTCCATTCAATATGAAAGAAAATAACTTCTAGAGCTTCCCATGCATAAGAATTTAAGAAATAAAATAAAGAGATCAGTTAATTAATTTCAACAGGACAATATAGGTTTATTTACCAAATATTCCCTGAAGCCTTCTTGACAAACTTCTTGCCCCCCTTGCAGGTACACACTTCCCAGAGTGGGACCCCTTGTTCTATGTGACCTCTAAGGTCCCTCACAGTTCTGAAGCCTCAGTTTCCCTAAGTATCCCCAGGGCCCCTCTAGGCATCTCTCCCCACACCCTGGCACAGGCTCACCTTCATAGCAGTCCCTCACTGAGTTGAAATAGACATAGTATTGGTGGCTTCCGAGGAGGAGGAGGCTGAGCCAGGAGTCAAAGGCATAGATGGGGACAATGAAGAGGAGGCGAATGATATAACGCTGTTCATTGGGCACAGTGTAGAATCTCAGGTGTAGGTAGATCTGATGGGAGGGGAAGAGGAAGATAAGTAGGGCTACCTTTATGCCCATTAAAAGTGCCCCACCTACAACCTGAGGGATAAAAGAAAGTCACTTCCCCCCCACCAATTCCACTTTACCTTAAAGTACTATATCCTTCCTCAGATTATCTTAGAGTACTTTGAAAGGCAGCATGATATAGTGGAAAGAATTCTGCAAAGAGGACCTGAGTTCAAATCCCCATTCTGACATTTACTACCTGTGTGACATTGGGCAAATCACTTAACCTCTCTGGACCTTAGTTTCCTCATCTTCCAAATGAAGGGGAGAGGGAGAGATGGACTAAGTGACTCTGAGTTCTCCTCCAGAGCTGTGATCTTTCCTTTGCCTCCACAACAAATGCTCACCTCTCCTTCCTAGGAGGAGGAAGAAGGAAGGGAATAAGTATTTATTCTACAATGTGCTAAACACTTTTCCAAACATTATCTCATTCGATCCTCACAACAACCCTAGAAGGTAGGTACTACTATTATCTGAATTTTACAAATGAGGGAACTGAGGCAAACAGAGATGAAGTGACTTGCCCAGGATCACACAGCCAGTAAGTATCTGAGGCTGGATTTGAACTTTAATCTTCATGACTCCTAGCACTCTATCCACTACAACACCTAGCTGCCTCAATGGAGCTGTCATTCAAAGCTCACATCAAATGCCAACTCCTACCAGAGGCTTTTTCTGATGCCTCTAATTAATTACTTTATATTTACTTGAAATGTATTTTATCTTTATCTAGATAGGTACATCTCTTAAAGCTTCATCAGGGAAAGGATGTAATGTCCTTACTGTCCCCAGGAGTAGCACAATTCTTCGCATATAGTAGATGCTGAATAAGTGCTAGATGAATTGAATTGAATCACACTCTACCTTGTATTATGCTTATCTGTGTATCTGCCATATTGTCCTCCAACCTAGTGGAACAAACACTCCTTCAGAGTAAAGGACCAGGTAAAGGACAAAATATCTTTGTATTCTCAGTGACCAACACTGTTTTCCACTAACCCCCTTCATGTGAGCTGTCTAGATCCCTCTCCACTGAAATTAACTTGTATTTTTCTTGAATATATCTTGCATATACTTCAACTTTATGTTTATATGTTGTCTTCCCGCTAGAATGCAAAATTCCTCAAGGACAGGTGCTGGGTTTCATTTTTGTCCTTGTATTCTTAGCACCTGGCAGAGTGCCTGACACACAGTAGGCACCTAATAAATATTTGCTGATTGAATGATTTATTAATAAATGTCTGATAACTGAAGTGGATGAAAGTTGCCTTCCACCCTTAAGATGTAGATACCTCTGGGAAGGGCAAGTACACAAAGATTCATCAGTCACTTTTCACCTTTCACTTATCCATTCCTTTCAGAGAAGTGACTTTTAAAAGGGAAAGGATAGAGAGAACTTGAGGACATCGACCCCCATCAGATGCCAAGTTCTCTAATCAACTCCCAGTTATTCATACAAAAGAGATCTGTGGCTGAACAAAATTCACAATTGGATAATAGCCCAATTAGCCGGACTGAAAACTAGTTTAAACACCAGACTTAAAGAGATGCCATTAGCCATTGACCATTTTATAAGGAGATCTCCAGTGGCACGTTCCAAGGATCCGTGCTATTTAACATTTTTTTATCAGTATCTTAAGTAAGAGCACAGACAGAATCTTTATGAACTGCGCATGGGGACACAAAGCTAAAAGGGATGGCTAATACACCAAATAAAAGAGTCCCAATCCAAAAAGATCTTGACAGGCTAGAATTTTGAGTTACATCTGATAAGATGGAATAGGGATAAATGTAAAGTCTTATATTTAGGCTCAAGAAATAGACTCCACAAGTAAAAAATGGGGGCAGTGGGAGCGGAAGGCTTGTCTAAAACCTATCTGAGGCTTCTGGTGGAGGGGACACTTGATATGAGTCAACATTGTCATGTGGCCACCCAAAAAAGCTAATGAAATTTCGGGTCGAGTTAATGGCCCAATAGAAAAAGGAGACAAGAGTCCCAGTATACTCTGTGCTAGTAAGATTATATTCTGGAGCATAATGGGGTTGTATCTTATAATGTGCTTAGGTTCTAAAGAGAGGCTCCTGCCTTTTATCCTTGTCGATGGCAAATGACAGAGCCTCTCTCCATCAACACAGTCAGGGATATGAGCATGCCCAGAGATCAGGGATAGAGGAGAAAGTTAAGAAAAAGAAAAGATAAAGAATCAGAAGAAATGTAGAGAGCCCCAAGACCTTTCACCCAAAGATTGAATTCTGGGGTTGGAACCTGTGTGCCCCATTTCACTCAGTTTGGGGAACTGTAGTGAGATGGGGAGGGAGTCACTCCAATACTAAGAGGCCATTCATTGGCCAAGGAGCACTATTCCAGTGAGTACAATTATTCATCTTTCCCTAAGACTTTTACTACATTAAGCCAATGAGAAGACTTCAGCCTAACCACCAGGAGGTGTATAATGTGCTGACAGGTAACAAAAGAAAAGAGGAACAGAAAACAAAAATTAATCAATTAACAAATATTGACTACTAATAGTAACAGCTAATTAAAAAAAGCAGTATTCCTGTTACTATGTGCCAGGCACTGTGCTAAGTGCTTTATAATAATTTTCTCATTTTATCCTCACAACAACCATAGACAGGGTAGATGCTGAATAAACTAATGATACGATAGGACTTCACTGTATTGTGTTCAGGTCAGAGCACTGCTTTTTGGGAAGGACACTGATAAATGGAAGACTGACTAGAGAAGGGCAATCAGAACAGTGAACTGCCTAAAGTCTGCGCCATGTGAGGAGTGGTCGGCAGATCTGGGGATGTTTAACCTGGAGAAGAAGGCAGCTAGGTGGCACCACAGTGCACAGACTCATCTTCCTGAATTCAAACCTGGCCTCAGACATTTACTAGTCATGTGACTCTGAGCAAGTCATTTAATCCTATTTGCCTCAGTTTCCTCATCTGTAAAATAAACTGGAGAAGGAAATGGCAAACTACTCCAGTATCTCTGCCATGAAAATCCCAAATGGGATCCAGGACGAGTCGGATAGGACTGAACAAGCTGGAGAAGACTCAGAAAAAACATGAGACATCCTTAAGGAACTGTCATGTGGAAAAGAGATTAGACTTGTTCTGTTTGGTCCAAGAGGGCAGAACCAAGATTAAGGGGTAGAAGTTGCAAGGAGGAAAATTTTGGCTTGTTATAAAACAAAAAATTCCTAATGATTAAGTCATCCAAAAGTAGACTTAGGGCAGCTTGGGAGATAAGTGGGTTTTCCCTTCCTACAAGTCTTCTAGTAAAGAATGAAAGACCACTTATTGAGTGTGGTTTGGTAGAGATTCTTGCCGGGGGGAGGGCGGGAAGGGTGCACATGAGACGGTTTAGATGGACACCAAGTTCCCTTCCAACTCTGAAATTCTGGGACTGACACACAGTCAGAAAAATGCAGCATGATTCCAATTTTCCATCTTTCCCTAAGTCTTTTACTAGATTAGGCCAATGAGAAGACTTCAACCTAACCAATGGGGGATGTACAATATGCTAACAGGTAACAAAAGAAAAGAGAAATAGAAAATAAAAATTAGTGAATCAACAAATATTGACTGTTAATAATAATAGCTAATGATAATAATAATAATAATGATAGCATTTATATAGCACTTACTATGTGCCAGGCACTATGCTAACTGCTTTCCAATCATTTTCTCATGCTATCCTCACAACAACCCGCTGGGTAAGTGCTATAACTCTCCCCATTTTAGAGATGAAGAAGCTGAGGCAAACAAAGGTTAGGTGACTTGCCCGGGGTCACACAGCTAATAGCTAAGGCTGGATTTGAACTCAGGTCTTCCTAACTCCAGGCTTAGTGCTTTCACCACTGTGCCATCTAGCTTTCCACTATATGCATGGAACTGTGAAAGACACTTGAGAAAAAGAAGGATTGGGTGCCAAATCAATCAATCAACCAATGAGCAACTTATAAAAGGACCTACTCTGTGCCAGGTGCTAGGGATACAAAACCACAAAGGAAACAGAGCCTGCTCTCAAGCTTATTCCAAAGAAATAAGGGTACAAACAAACAGAATTTGGAGTCAGAAGACCAAGGTTCTTAATCTGGCTCCTGTATTAACTAGCTGTGGGGCCTTGGGAGGTTATTTCACTTCTCCAGAACCCCAGTTTCCTCATCTATACAATGGGGATAATAATACTTTTTTTTTTAAACTTGGAGGCAATCAGGGTTAAGTGACTTGCCCAGGGTCACACAGCTAATAAGTGTGTGAGGTTGGATTTGAACTCAGATCCTCCTGATTCCAATACTGGTGCTCTCTCCACTGCACCACCTAGCTTCCCCCAGGGTAATAATAATATTTCTGTAACTTCTCTTATAAGAGGATATAAGCCAAAGTGCCTTGAAGTATCCTATACATCCAAGAATGTCAGAGCTCTGTTGTGGTCCTGGCTCTAACATCAGCTTCCCCAGGTGAACTTAGTTAGGGGTTCACTAAGCAGGTCTGGGGTTCACTAAGCAAGTTTGGGCTTCAGCTCCTATATCTGTTAAGTAGGGATAATAATTCCTGCCCTGTTTACTTCCTAGAGATGTTGTGAAAGTACTCCACAGAGCACCTGAAGGCTGTAGAAATACAAAGGATGCTGAATGGTCAGGATAGGGAGGCAGGGGGATGTCCAGATAGGAACTAAAGTCACCCCAAGAGCTTTACATAAAGCGTGCCTTGCCACAGAGGGGACCTGCTACTCTCCATCCTAGGACCGACTGCTTGATCCGCCTGTGCCTGAGGGAGGGGCACTTAAGGAGGAGGGGCAGATGGCATCCTCCCCTGAGCCCGGGCAAAGTCCTTTTCACTTGGTGCTATCACGCTGGTGGCAGTTGGAGCTTTTCCTGTCCCTGTGACACCCTCCCTCTCCTCCCCAACCCCCACAACAGGGCTCAGCTCCAGCAGCAGGTGCTCAGTGCTGGGCTCGCCCCATTTCCCTCATGCTCCCTGCTCCAAGGTTTCAGAGTTTCCGAGCAGGTGGGAAGCAGAGACAAGAGAAGCTGGCTGTCTCTTTTACTGGGTGGTAACCACCACCTACACCGAAGACCTGACACAGCATGGGCTCTGTGCCCCCTGAGCAAAACTCATCCTTCAAATTTCCCCTGCTTTGTGACCTCAGGCAAGTTACTGGGGTCTGTGCCTCAGTTTCCTCATTTGTAAAATAATGACACTTGCACTACCTGCCTTACCTGACTCTTGGCCATAAAACAGTATAAAATTATCAGCTATTATTATTATTTTATTCCTCCTATTCCCTGCTACCTTAGTCCATCCCCTCATCACCTCTCACCTGGATTATTTCAACAGTCTCCTGTTTATAATTTCTTCCTATCCAGCACCCCACAGCCAGATCCATCTTCTTAAAACATGGCTTTGTATTTTATTCTCTCTCCATGATACACACATTGCTACTCCTCCCCACCCTCAGACTCAAAAACCTTCCCTGGCTCTCTACTGTCTACGCTAGAATAATGCCTTAGCTGTTTTTTAATAAACTTAGCCCAAACTATTGTCCTATGTGAATTTTCTTTTGGATCAAATTGGTTGATTCATTATCCCCTGAATACATCACCAAGCAAGAAGCATTTATTATGTGCCTACTATATGCCAGGTCCTGTGCTATTAAGAATACAAAAAATCAGAGAAAAAAAACAACCCGTGTCCAAGTGGAACTGACATTCTCTTCTCTGCCTGTGTGCATCCTGTTCCTCCATCCTTCAAGGGTCTCCACTCTCTTCCCCACTTTTCTGAATCCTACCCTTCCTTCCAGGCCCAGGTTAAGTACTGCCTCCTGCTTGAGAGATAAGGATCGAGGCTGGGATTTCAAGGGATGAAGAAACTCCCTCAGCCAATATAGGTTGGGACTTTCCCTGCAGTTTATAGGCCTAAAGAGTTGCCCAGGGCACTGAGAAATTAAGCATCAGGTAGCCAGGGTATGTTAGAGACAAGACTCGAATCCCCATCTTCCTGACTCCAAGGTCAGCTTTCTAATAAGAATAATAAAACTAGCAATTATATAGTGCTTACTATGTACCAGGCACTTTACAATTATCATCTCATTTGATCTTCACAACAGTTACGTGCCAGGCACTGTGCTAAGTGCTTTGCAATCATTTTCTCATTTTATCCTCGAAACAACCCTAGCTACCTAGCTACCTGGGAGGTAGGGCCTATTATTATTCCCATTTTACAGATGAGGCAAACAGAAGTGAAGTGACTTGCCTGAAGTCACACAGCTAGTAAGTGTCTGAGGCTGGATTTGAACCCCTATTTTCCAGACATCAAGGTCAGCTCTCTAGCCATTATACCATACTACCTCTCTTTGTCCTAACCCAGAGTAACTTCTTTTGTTATTAGAATATATTACCTTATAATGTCACTTATCTTTGCACATGCTCTTATCTCCTCTAGCCTGAAAAAACCCTCACTTGATCCTTCTGTCCCCACGACAATCCAATATCTCTTCTGCCCTTTGTTCCTAAGCTGCTGGAAAAGGCCGTCTACATTACATGCGTCCACTTTCTCTCCACTCACTCTCTCAGCCCTTTACAATTTGGCTTCTGACCTTGTCATTCCACTAAAACTGCTCTCTCCAAAGTTACTAGTGTTCTCTTAGTTGCCAAATCCAACAGCCTTTTCGCAATCCTCATTCTCCTTGACCTCTCTGCAGCCTTTGACACTGTGGGTCACTCTCTCCTCCTCCACTCTCTCCTGGTTTTTCTCCTATCTATCCTCCTACCTAGTCTCAGTTTCCTTTGCTGGATCCTCATCCAGATCATGTCCCTTAGCCATAAGTGTCCAGGATTTTGTCCTGGGCCCTTTCTACACTCCTTCACTCACTGATCTCATCAGCTCCCATGGATGTAATTACCATCTACATTCGGATGATTCTCAAATCTACCTCTCCTGCACCAATCTCTGTGGACCTCCAATCTCGCATCTCCAACTGCCTTTGAGACAGCTCAAGCTCGTTGTTGAGTAGACATCTAAAACTCAATATGTCTAAAACAGAAGTCATTATCTTTCTCTCTAAACTTTACCCACCTCCATAGAGGCAACACCATTCTCCCAGTCCCTCAAGCTGGAAGGCCTTGGAATCATCCCGGACCCCTCACTCTCTCTCACCCCCTATATCCAATCTGTTGCCAAGGCCTATTGATTTCACCTTTTCAACATCTCACCTGTGACACTGTCACCCCTCTGCACAGGCCCTCAACACCTCACACCTGGATTACTTCAATAGCCTGGCTGGTGGGTCTGCCCGCCTTAAGTCAGTCCCCACTCCAACTCATTCTCCATTGAGTCACTAAAATAAGTCTCCCAAAAACACAGACCGGTCCAAACTCCAGTGGCTTCCTATTGCCTGGAGCAAATACAATATGCTCTATTCAGCATTCATAACATTACCCTTTCCTACCTCCCCAGTCTTCTTACACCTTACTTGATGATACACACTCTTTGATCTAATGACACTGACCTCCTGGCTGTTCCATGAACAAGACACTCCAGGCATTTTCTCTTGCTATCCCCCATTCCTGGAACGTTCTTCTTCCTCCACTCCAACTATTAAAATCCCTGGATTCCTTTATGTCCCAACTAAAATCCCACCTTCTATGGGAAGCCTTCTCCAAACCCTCTTAATTCCAGTGTTTTCCCTCTGTTGATTATTTTCTATTTAACCTGTACATAGTTTGCTTTGTATATATTTGTTTGCTTGTTTTCTCTCCCAGTAGATTGCAAGGTCCTTGGAGTCAGGGACTGATTTTTTTGTATCTCCAGAGCATGGCATGGTGCCTGCCTGGTACACAGTAAGCACTTAATAAATGTTTATTGATTGATGGATTGATAAATACTCTATCTCTTCTCCTAAAATATATGTTCCTAGAGAGTAGGAATTTTGTATCCCCAACACACAACACATGCCTTGCATAGAGTAGGTAATGAAAAGCATTTATTGCTAGAAGTGTGATATAACGGAGAAATGCTGGATTTGGAGTCAGAATACCTAAGGATCTGTGTAACCCTGGACAAGTCATTTCATTTCATTTCTCTAGGCTTTAGTTTCCTTATCTGTAAAATGAAGGGGTTGCTCTAGAATCAGGGGTGAGGAACCTCGGCCTCAAGGCCACACATGGTCTTCTAGGTTCCGCAGGTTCCCCACCCTGGTCTAAAGTCTCTTCCAGCTCTAAAACAATGATCTATAAATCCCAACCAGATGCTAGGATGATATGCTAGCCACCCAGGACTTGCTTTCCCTGCCCAAGATTCAGTTTGGAGCTCAAGGGACAGATGTGGGGAGCTTCTGGACATAGAAAATGAGTTGAGTTTTCATGCTAGTTGTTCACAGGAGGATATGGATTTTACATGGGAGATATGTTTACAAGGAGGACATGTAAAGTGCTTTCTAGGTCTAGGGAGATCTGGAAAGACAGGGGAGAATCTTACCTGGTGGCAGGTCAGCACCAGGGCTGACCACACAAACAATCCTGAGATGCCCCGGGCAAGGGGGGTGGTGAGGAAGAGCTGTTTGGAGCCCTGAGAGCTGTTCCAGGCCCTGCTGAGATGAAGGCCATCTCCACTGGTGGGAAAGCCTGGGTCAGCAAATGGGAGGGTGCTAGTATGTAGCAACCCCTCAGCCATTTGGGAGGTTAGCATAGTACTTTGGATGGTAGAGTTCTCTTCCACAGGTAGCCCAGTGCCGTTGTCCATCTATTGAGGAAGGAAAGAAGAGAAAGGTAAGGACAAAGGCAGCAGGAAGAAGAGGAGGAGTTAGGGAGGAGTGGACTTGCCCCACCCCCAGTCAGGGAGGACCAAGAAAAAGTGATGGCCAAGGGAGATTAATGAAGAATGAAGGGAAAGAAAAGGGTGGAGGGAATCCTAAACCAATTCTGAGTGAATTCACTGATTAGTAGCCTGTTACAGCCCTCTGCAGTCCTGTCCCTCCTCCAAATTTCAGTTCAGACCTTGAACTTGGATTCTACCTAGTGCAAAAGTCTTTTAAACACCAGCTCCCCAACCTCATTTCCAAAGCAGGATGAACCAGAGGCTGGCCGGGGCTGCCAGAACTATAATTTGCATGCTTCTAGGAAGTGATGGGGCCCAAACTTCCCAGTGTCCACTGATTGCCTCCTTGCTAAGAGTATGACTCCTAAAGCTTGCTGCTGTTGTACTGTTGGCAGTACAGAACCCTGGCCCAAATCCCCAAATGTCAAGTTGGGTCCAGACATTCAGATCCTGGAAACCGAAAAATCTGAAAAGCTTGTCCTAAAGAGGGAGTTTGCTGTCACGGATAGAAAGCTAATTCTGAGCCAAGAAGACCTGGGTTCAAGATTCCTCTCTAATACATACTTCATAACTCTGGGCAAGTCACTTAACCTCTTGATGCCTCTAGTCAAATGTCTTGAGCAATGCAGAGAATGTGCCAATCTGCACCGGTGGAGGAAGGGTGGCATAATAGCTAGAGTGCTTGACTCAAATCCTACCTTATCTCTAAAATAGGATTAACAATAGGACCTCCCTTACGGGAACAAGGTGAAGATTAAATGAGATAATAATTGCTTTGTGAATTTTAAAGTGCCACATAAATTCTAGCTATTATTATTACTGTTGTTATTATTATGCTGATGCTATTTGTAGGTCCAATTTAAACAAACACTTGGTAGGTTGGTTATCCAGTTAGGAGTTCCCTCAAACTCTCAGAATTCCAGGAAACCTTCCTTTATTCCTAGCCCTATACCTCCCACCCCCAAATAGGAGCTACCCTCCTAAGGGCATTCTGCCAGCCCCTTTCTCATGAAGTTATCACAAAGAGGCTGAATGCAGAGCAACAGAAGGCAAACTGGCCTTGGAGTTAAAGCACCTGTGTTCAAATGTCACTTGTAGTGCTTACTACTTATGCAAATCTCTTAGGCTCAGTTTTCTGACATCTGTAAAATGAAGGGATTAGATTAGCTGGCTTTCTAGGATCACATATAAATAACAACAGTAAAAATAAATAAATAAATAAATAAACACGCATCAGATCTGATCCTAGAGCTAGAGGAGACCTCAGAGAACTAGGCCAATGCCTACACTTTATGTATGAGGAAACTGAGGCCCAGGGAGGGTCAAGTGAATTAGCAAAGGTCACAAAGGTAGAAAAGCATTAGAAACAGGAGGTGAACCCTCCTCCTCTGACCTCCAAGCTAGCATTCTTTTTTCACCAAACCTCCCCATATCACATCTCTTTCCTAGATTAGAAGCTCCCCAAGGCCAGGACTGAGGGCAGGCTGACTTCACCTGTACTGAAGTGGAAAAGGGGGCAGGAAAACAGTTCCTAGAATAACCAGATCATGGATCCAGAGTTGGAAAGGGCCTACTCTAGGTCTGAGTGGGGCATTTGTATCTCCAGGACCTTGTACACTGTGGGTGCTTAACAGAAGCTGGTCAAATAGAATGAAGTCATTTCAGAGTTCATTGTTAACTTTAGACCTTTGCCCATAACATAATGATGACAGCTGACATTTTTGTAGTGCTTTAAAGACTATGAAGAGGAATAGTGGATAAAGAGATGGCTTTGGACCCCAGACAACCAGAGTTCAAGACCCACTTCTGACACCCACTGGCTATATGACCCCGGGCAAGTCAATTAACTTCTTAGTGCCCCAGGCAACCTTTTAAAACTGTAAGTTGCAGGTAAGGTGCCAATTTATTTTGGTAGAGGGAATTTCCTCATTGGGTGTTTTCTTTCCTAATGAAATTACAAGTCCACCCCCTATTTCTTAAACGTTTTATGTGTTCTCTCCCTATATGTAGACATACATATATGTATATATACACACAAATTCATGTATATACACACACACACAGTATACAGACTTATATACATATTATTTTATTTGACTGTCATAACCTGTGAGGTAGGTAGTGCATGTATTATTAGCCATGCCCCAAAGGGGAGAGGGCACCCCTACTTGGAAGAGATTAAGGGTTACCAAGCAGTGGGCACTTAAAATGTTTGTTCAAGTAAATTGTTGAGCCTCCTAGGAACGGAACGGGAGAGAGCTAAGCCTACTCACCCTCCCAGATGCCTCCAATAGGGCCCTCCTCCCATTCCAGCCCAACATCGTATACACACCACCTTGTGTATTAGCTGTCCCGGCAACTCCTGAGAGCACTTGCCTCAGAGAGTGCCCAAACAAGAGTACCATGAGCAGGACATGGACTGAGTTCCCCACCCAGTGGCAGTGGGTTATTCATTGCTAGGACTCTCAGCACAGCCACTTCGGGCTCCCTGGGACTTTGCCCTGCCCCCTCTGAACAAAGCTACTTTCTCTAAAAGCTACTTTCTCTCACCTACTCCGAGGCTACTCCCTGCTTGCTAGCTACTACCTAAATATGCTGGCCTAGGGTAAAGTGTCAGGGGTGGGTGGAGGGATGTATGTGAGGAGGGGCTGATATTAGAAAGAAATATCCAAAGAACAGCACCCACGCTCCTGGAATCATAAGATCTACGAGAACAAAAACAAGTGACTTAATTCACTTAATTCAGATTCTATCTAGAAATGAAGTCCCTCCCTCCCTAGAAACGCCCCCCCCCTTTCCTTTGGCCCTCCCAATTTTAGCGGCTACTTTAACCCAACTCTTACCTTGCCCAATAGAAAGCGCCAAGAGCGTCACCTGGGCCCCGCGGTTGCTGGACTGGGGAACGCTTGCATCTCGGGGTCCCAGGTCCGGGTGAGCGCAGGCATTCACGTGGCAGGGGAGACAGCTCCGAGCCTCGCTCAGGAAGAGCAGCCAGGCCCCAGGTGAGACTTCAAAGCTATGCCCTCCCCAAGTGCCTGCACCTAGAGTGGGGGAGGAAGGGGAGACGAGATCAGTCGGGAGGGTAGAGTTACCAGGAAGTCACCTACCTGTTCGTCTCACCACTCAGTACCAGGAGCCCCACCTCTAAAACCCGGAGAGCGAGCGTCAGGATGCGCCTCCCAGCCCAAGCCCGGGCAGAGGCAGAGAGCGAAGGGAACCTTATGGCTGTTTGCTTCCTCTGTCCTTTCATTCTCGTGATACAGTATCCTCTTCCCTGTTTGTTTAGCCCGAAGCGGATTCCCAGGAACCTGCCTGGAGGATCTCCCTTTTGGCCTGCAGATGGCAGCTGCTTCCCGGGCAGATGTCCGAAGGATTCCCTCGACCCTGGTACCCTGCCCTTAAGGAGAGCCTCTGTGGGCTGCTTTTACCTGTATCTTGGTGGAAGGTGTGGATGGGGCGTGGGTGTGGAGAGGCAGTTCTTAGGATCATAGACCCAGAAATGGTAGGAAGGAATTTTGTACAAATTTAAAAGAGGAGGAGGAAGGAGAGAGGGAGGCAAGAACAGAGAAAGACAGATATACACATAGAGAGAAACAGAGAGGAGAGACAGAGAAAGGCAGAGAGGAGAAAGTTAGAGACAGAAAGAGAAAAGAGGCAGAGAAAGACAGGAGAGACAGAAAAAGAGGGAGAGCTAGAGGAGAGAGAGAAGAGGAGTAAAGTAAAGCAGACTTTTGTCAAGGGTTACCAAAATGGGAATTTTGAAGTAAAAGCAAAGATCTCTTTTAAGGAAGATAATATGGTACTGTGGAAAGAGCCACTGCTCTTGAAACAGGAGACCTGTGTTCAAATCTCACCTTCGATGCTGACTACCTATGTGACCTTGCACAAATTATATAATCTCTCTGGGCCTCAGTCTCCTCTGCTGTAAAACGAAAAGGTTGGCCTCTGAGGTTCCTTCCTGCTATAGATCAATGGTTCTATGATCCTAAATTGAAAGTATAGGCTCCAGAAAGAGAAGGAACCTTAGAGATCTCTAAGAAGAGACCTCAGAGGCCACCTGACCCAACCTCCTCATTTTACAGATGAGAACTAAAGTCAAGTGACATGTCCAAGGTCACATGGATATTTACATGGGGACATGTTTTACATCGTTATCTCTTGTTTTTTATCACAACTAGGGAGGGGCAAGTACTATTTTACAGATGAGGAAATACAGGTTAAATATCCTGTCCTTGGAAGCAAGGATTATCTACATTCAAAATCTAGACACTTTTTTATTTCACTGTATTACACTGCTTTTCTTGGAAGTAGTAACCAGCAAAACCATTATTCAAACTCAGGTACCCTGATTCCCAATCTTTTGTCACATTGTCTACCTTGAAAATGCCCCCAACCCTGAAGCAAGGTTCTAAGTACCTGGAGGTGATAAAAAAAAAAAGACACATTCATAACACAGCCCTACTAGCTCAGGTTGGGAGAGACCTAGTCATAGCCTTGAAACCAAGAGCCCCACATCTGTCTATTTGTTGGCACTAAGTTTTCTCCCAGGCTTCCTCTGAGATAGTCCAGGATTTGGAAAATGGGGAAAGGTAGGGATTGGAGAAGGTTTGCCGGGGGAGCTGATTTTTATTTTTGCTGATCTAATTCCTCACGTTCACAATAAACTTCACATCTCTCTAGTGCTTTGAAGCTAAAGCACTCTGCAGATATGAGCTCATCCCCCAACACCCTTGGGAGGGGCCTAGCTACATCTATTTCATTTTCCAAGTGGGAAAACCCAGCCACAGCAGCCCTGTGGGGCTAGGCCTGAACAACAGGTCTTTTGGCTTCTGGTTGAGGGCCATCCTCTGATGAAGGAGACAAACAGAAAAGTGAATCCATTGCTTCCTATAAACTGTGCCCTCATCTTAGGACTCAGTATCTTCTCAGCATGGAGGCCTTCTTAAGTTAAACTGGTCTGTCTAGGTTGCTGATGAAGGAAAATAGTCCGGTGATGTGTTGATACTGCATTTAGAGATAAGGCTAAATATTAATCAAAGGAGACAGATCTGTTCCCTTTGGCCCTTTGGAGGGACCCCACCCTTTAGCAAAGTACAGCCCAGTTCTCCAACATGCTAGTATGTGTAGCAAGGACATAATGTTTACTAATGGGGCAGTGTGCCCAAAGTCATCCCCAGCGAATGCTATTCAGACCTCCAAACCAGCCATAGACAAACTCCTAAGAGGCCAACCGAGGGACTCTACAGGATCTTCCTGTAGCTGTTTGCTTTTTTTTTTTTGCAACCTCCCCAACTCTCCCCCCTTCCACCAGACCGACGTTAATTCAGTTCAATTTAATATACATTTATTAAACACCTACTATGTGCCAGGAACTGTACTAAGTGCTAGGAATACAAAAAGAGGCAAAAAAAAAACCAGCCCCTGCCCTCAAGGAGTTTACAATCTATAATAGTGGAGACAAGTGCAAATAAATATGTAGAAAGCTTTCTTGGAATAGTGTAAAGAGTGCTAGATTTAGAGACAGTGGGCCTGGATTCAAATCTTCCCATCACTACAATGCATGTAGTAAAGCGGAAAGAATGGTGGATTTGAAGGCAGATGGTTTGGATTCAAATCTTGCCCCTACCATTATTAGCCATGTCAGCTTGAACAAGTTACAAACCTTCTGAGTCTCAGTTTCTCCACCTGTAAAGTCAGAGGGTTAGACTTGATGACCTCTACGGTCCCTTCCAGCTCTGCATTTGTGATCCTATAATACATCCTTAATAGGGAAATCACTGGTCAAAGTCCCAGCCCCCTGATATATACCAACAGCCCATACTGCTACACTTCCCTCTCCCCAAGCAAATTTAGTGGCATGCTTACCTTTCACAAGGTTAAGCTCTGCCCCTACTCCACCCACACATTGGAAAGTATGCTGTATCTAGTCAGAAGATCTGGGTCTAAAACCCATCTCTGTCCTGTTGTTTATTCACTGGGTACCCTGTGACCCAGCAAATCATGTTCATCTCTGTAAGCCTCAGTTTCCTCATCTGTAAAATGGGAATTTGACACTATTGCACCCCAGGATTCTTATGAGAAAAGTGTTTTGTGTAAAATGTGAGCTCTCATTTGGGAGTTGTTATTTTAATGTGGTTGAGTTCACATATTGTGGTGGAGAGAGAGGGTAGTGGTGGTGGTGGTGGTGATGGTAGTGGTGGAGGGGAGGCAGGGATAAAATGATACAGTTTGATTTATGCCCCCACTTCCTTGGTTAAGGATTTATAATCCAGTGGGGAAATTGGATATTCAGAAAATCCACTGGTTTTTTTTTTTTAATCCACAGAGCCAGCCAGGCAAATATTGGAGGTTTTCTATTTTTTTCTGGCTTTTATCGCTCCTGCCCCCAAGCCCATTAGGGCGGGAAATCCTGAAACATTCTCTACTTAGATGGAAAAAAAATCTTCCAATCCAGGAAGGAAAAGTTCTGAGTTTAGGAATGAGTCCCAGGGCAGATTTCAGTCTGTAGAGCAATCTGTGCTAGATAACTGTGGAGGACTGTGGTTAGTCAAACAGAATTTAACAAGCTAAGCTGAAAAGACAGAGCATTTCCCATCCTGGGCTAATACTAGATGTGCTGTTGATCCCAAGAACCCAGAACTGGTCAGATGCATCGGAGGTGAGACCCCAGAAATATTCAGTGCCAGGGGTCAAGGTGGGATCATCTCTACAAAGCAGGCCAGAGAAATTCCCACGATGCCAGGATTTCTAGAGCTGTCAAGACTCTCAACTGTTGGGGCACTTGCCAGGTTCCTGCACCATCTCCAGCACTACTTACTGGTAACTACTATCCCAATCCTGATTTAGTGTGGCCTCCAGCATAGGGCTGATCTCTGAAGACAATAATTCTTCCATCTCTTCCACTGTCCCCTCCATCCCCCTGCCTCCTCCAGGATAAGCAAGGCACCCTTGACTACCGACCAGGCTCCATATCTCTAACTATGCCTTACTTGCTAAATATAATGGTTGTTTCTCAACCCTCATCCTTCTTGGTAGCATCACTTGTTCCTCCTGAGTCTTCTTTCCTCTCTGGGTTTTCATGACATTGCCCTTTCCTGGAAAAGAGGCAGGTTATTGAGGACCTTAATGTTGTTGAAAATTATAATTTTAACTTTAAATGCCAGGCTGAGAAGTCTGTAATTTATCCCAGGGATCCATTAAAGGTTTTTTGAGTAGAAGAGGAAAGACCTATCATAGGAAGATAATTTTGGTGGCTATATGGAGGACAGGCTGGAAAGGAAGGAGAGAGGAATCAGGGATAGTAAGCCTGTGACTTCCTCCTCTTTCTTGAAGCTTTTCCCTTCCTTAGAGCCCATGACAATAAGCTTGTCCTGGTTCTCTTCCTATTTCACAGATTTCCTTTTTTTGCTTCCTCTATGGAATCTTCTGAACAGTTCTTAAATCTCAGTCCTCTACCTTGAGCTTGTTCCTCTATGCATTGTTCCTCAAAAATTCATCTGGTCTCAAAGCTCCAATTAAGCATTCTTTCTGCTGAGGACCTTTAATTTATTTCTCTAACTGAGATATGTCACTTGCCTTCCAGTCCTCCCTTTCTGTCTCCTCTATTTTCAGTTGCCTCCAGAATATCTTTCCATGTATGTCTCCTTGTGATCTCAAGTGTGTTGGCCTGGTAGCCTGGTAGATTAGAGTACACTGTCAATTAAGCTAAGGTGAGATGTTTGATTCCCACATAGACCGATTAGCTTTGTTTTGTTCTATAGTCCCAGTTTGCACCCCAGATCCCAGACAGCTGTCTCACAAAGACTTTGACATTAGTCCCACAAGGGAAACCCAATGAGTGTGGATGACTCAGTTCAAATCCATCCCTACTACTGGAAAAACTACTCCGAGTACTATGGTGGCTAAGTAGATTGTGTCATCTTTACATAAAAGGTATTTTATTGTTGTTGTTAATAATACTGCTGTTATTACTTCTCTAACTGGTTGGCAGTATTTAAAGGATAGAGTCCATGAGTCTTACTCACTTTTTATCCCACCCAGT